TTTTTTATATATAGAATCTTTTATAAAGAAATATTATGAAAAAATAATATAGTTTTAGGAAAAGAAAATTAACATTTGGAATTCCAATTTTGTGTCTTTATATTTTATTTATATATTCAATATCGAAAATCAATTTTCCATTTTTTCTTATTGATTATAGATATATTAAATTTATCAACTTAATTAATATTTGATAGAAACTGAAAAGGATAATAAAGAATACTGGATTTTTTTATTTAAAAGAATTATAAAATAAAATTACAAACGATAAATCGATTAACAAAAAGATATAGAGATTTATTTCAAAACGAAATATATTGATAATAAATTAATATATATTAAATGTTATAATAGATTAATTAGTAAATATAAATATTCATTTAATTGTATTTGTAAAAGTATTAATCAATTATATTATAAAGTATATAAAGAAATCAGAAAAGAAATCAATTACATATATTGGTATTCAAAATAATATAATATTGATCAATATTTTCTTTTATTTGTATTATTTTAATAATTAAATCAATATATTTGTTTTATTTAGATTTTCAAATATATATATGATAATATAATTCGATTTTTCAATAATTTTGGTTCAAAAATATTTAACAAATTTTTTCAAAAAAGAGATTGATTTATTTAAAAAATGTTTTATTATTTATTAATTATTTTAATATAAAATACGATTCGTAATATTGTTTTGATGAATATTAAAAATGAAAAAATGAATATTTTGATTATAATTGGAATTAACAAAGAAATTATTAAAAAACGATAAAATATAATCCAAAAATACAAATTTTGATTTGCTAATATTATTATAAATAATAGAAATATGATTGATAATAAAATCAATAAAAAGAATGATCTATTTGATTAATTAAAGAAAATTATATTGAAAGATGAAATAAGAGATTGGGATTGAAGAATATTATAAATCCTTTTAGAATATAAATATAATAATAAAAAGAATAAAGAATTTAAAAACTATTCGTATATTAAATTTATATTATTATATTTTTTCAAAATAATCAATAGTTTAAAGATTATGAAAACTTGTTATATAAAAAAATTTCAAGAAATATATAAATATTATATCAGTTATTATTTTAATTATCTTAATAATTATTACAATAAAATCAAATGATAATGATAACGAAGAATTGGATAATAATGATTACGAAAGTATCGATAAATTTTTTAAGAATGATATCCAGAATTTATTCGAATGATTTGTTGAGAATCGATCAATAAAAAATAATAATTGAGATATTGATTCTGATAATATTGATTATTATAATAATTATCCTTTGTTTTGTAAAGATTTTTTTTTAAAGATTTAAAATTTGTTATAAAAATAAACACAAAAAAGATTTACATTATTTTACAATTCAATTTCAAATTAAAGAAAATAATTATTGAACAAAATCAAATCAATTTATTTATTTAATATACTTTTATAAATATAATAATATTTTTATTCTTTAAAAAAACTATTTATAATATTTTTTATATTAGTTCTAAATCTGAAAAAGGAAATGATAATGAAATATTACTTGAAATTATATTAATTAGTTTATAATAATATTTCTGAAATTATTATTATATTATTATAAATGAAAAATCGATAATTCATACAAATTTATTTATTCAGTTTAATCAACAATTACAATAAATATTTTCGAAATAAAATATTTTTTTTGAAAATATAAATATAGTTTTTTATAATAACTTTTGACAGTTATTTTTTATAATATTTAAATTTTTTTATATTATAATTAATACCTTTTCTTTGGAATTGATTGTTATTTAAAAACTTTATCGATATTTAAATAAAAAATATATTTTATAAAACTTATATACTAAAAAAGAACATCTTAATAATATTCACTTTTATAAAATATTAATATAATGAAGAATTTATAATATATTATATACAAATTAAGAGTTTTTAAATTATTATATATAACAATCTTTTATTAAAAAAAATTAAAAAAATTAAGGATATCTTTAAATTATATTATATTAATAAGAATATTGATATACATAATAATAAATATCTTTAAGATTTAAATATTTTAATTAAAATATTTTAGATTAGATATATTGATTATCGAATAGCTTATATTAATAACAATGATATAAATAATCTATATATTGAATTTAAATTGACAATTAAAATTTGAATTATATTTATTAAAAATCTTTGAATGAAGAATGAAATAATTAATAGAATTATAAGAATACTAAAAGATCTAATTTGGGATAAAGATTAAGATTCGAACAAAGTTTGATTATGATCAAAACAAAAATAAAGAATATTTAGAATTATATTTCTCAAATATAATTTAGATGTTTATCAAATTATTTAGAAAAGATTTTCAATTCAATAATTAAAATTATATTTGATTTCAATTTCCTTTTCATATTACTTTTGTTATTATAATTTACCAGGGGCCTGCGCCCCCCGGACCCCTGACTTTTCGAGAAAGTCTAATAAAAATTTAAGTTTTAAAAAGTTTATAATAAATTTAAATATTGAATATATATCAGGGTGCAGGCAGAATATCAGCTTGTTTTTGATAATTGAAAATTAAAATATTTTATTTAAAAATAATAATTATAATATGATTTAATATTATTATTTATAATATTAATAATAATAATAATATTTTATATTTATTATTATTATAAATTGAATAAGTTGAATTGAATGAATAGAGATGAATTGAATGAGGTTAAATGAATAGAGTTGAGTTGAATGATTTCAATTGAATTGTGAATTGAGTTAAAGCTTTTTTCAATTCAACTCAATTGAAATCATTTAAGTCAGATTTATTTGAGGTTATGGAGCTTATATCAAGCTTTTTGTTCGATTATTTATTAAGGTATTTATTGGGGTATTTTAGATCAATTAGATTATTAGGATTGCGACTCATTTAAGCGAGTTTCTCATTTTCCATCATCCATCAGGTAAACCTCGCGTACAGCAAGATTATAGTGTCGGCAAGCCGACAATAATTTTGAATTAAAATAATATTTATTTAATTTATATTTATTTAAATTAAAATGAATTTGTATAAAATTGTTGTTTTATTAATATTTATTTAAGTAATAATAAATAATTTATTTTTTTTAAATTTTTATTTTATAATTATTGATTATAAAAATATAATAATTTTTCGTTTTCAAAATTAAAAGTTGATTAATGAATTAATACAATAAACGAAATCTATTTTAATTTTTTAAATTTTATTCAACAAGAATATATTAGATTCGAAGAATTTTTTTTCAAATAATAAAAATTATGAAAAGTTTGTTTTATAAATTGAATAAATTTGATTGATTTATATAAATAAATGATTATCAAAAATTGTTTTTATAAATAATTTGATTATAAAAAGAATAATTGAAATAGAAAATTTTTAAATATATAAAATTTTAAAAATAATAATTTTGATAAATATATTTGTATAGATAATAATAAAAAATAAAAGAATAAAAAACAATAACAAAAATAATAACTTTTCGAAATTTTTTTGGTAATAAAGATATTGAAGTATTATTCGATGATTATTTTGAAATCAAAATAAAGAGTTATAATCAATTTTTAAGATTTAATAGCTAGAATATTTACTTTGTTAAAATTTAAATAATTATTTAAAAGGGAAATGATTAAATTAAATAAACTTTGAATTTTATTAACTTTATTAATAAAAACAAATATTTTATTCAAAAAGATCTGAAAGAATTTTAAGAAATTGAAAAAAATCATCATATTGAAAGTAAGTAAAGGATATAAATCGATTATTATAATAGTCATTATAAGATTTTCAAAGATTTTATAAATACAAAAGTTGTATAAAATTTCAAGTCGAGTTCAAAAATGTAATAAAAAATCACGATTTGAATTTAGTCAGGTGTGTACAGGCTACTAGTTCACTGATAAAAAAGGAAATCACATGATTGTTTTTATAGTTCGAGATCTGTAATAATAATAATAATATTATTATTATAATTGTTATTTTTAAATATATATTTTTTTTCAATTATTAAAAACAAATTAATATTCTGCCTGTACTTTATTATATATATTTAATATTTAAATTTATTAAAACTTAATTTTTTATTAGACTTTCTCGAAAAGCCAGGGTCCGGGGCCGCAGGCTGGTAATTATAATCCTGAAGTATTTAAGATTAAATCTTTTTCCATTTTAGAGCTATATTATAAAATAGAATTATTAAAGAAGGGATATATATATATATAAATATAATAAGTTTTGAAAAGATTATGAATTATATATCTAAAGAATCAAAAGATGAAAAGTATAACAAAATTAAAAGAGATAAAATAAAAAGTTATATTAGTAATTTATTAAATAAAGAAGAACAACAAAAAAAAGATATAAAATAATAATTGTAAAGTATTTAATAAGCTTTGATAGAACTGCATATTGATTAAATTGATTTATAATATTATAAATTCTTATATTAAAGATTCTTTAATGATTTTAAACTTTAAAAGTAAGAGAACCAAATTCAATTAGGAATTATAACAAAGAAGAAGTTTTAATCCTTGTTTTATTATAACGATTTCTTCTCCTTTCTTATTATATAGAATATATCATAGGCTTATCATATAGTCAGATATAGCATTAGTTAAAATTAGATCAAATCGATTATGAATTTACTACTACTACTATATAATTCTATTAATATCATTATATGATCTTAATCCTAGTTTGATTTCTAATAAAGAATATAAATTTATAATTTTCATTGCTATAAAAAATATATAATTATATAATTCTATCTTTATTTAAAAAGTCTATTTTAATCAATTCTAGTTTCATACATCGTTATACTTTGCAAATATTATAAATGATCAATAGATTTCTTCTTCTTTTAGGGTAGTGATTATAATTGTAGCCGGGCCGGGATTTCCGATTGACCGACGGCGCGGGCGCTCCTTATAATTAGCCGGAAACCTATTGATCCCCTCTTCTCATTGAGACATTCGATTCATCCGGTAGATATGAAATTCAGAATATGATACTGGTGGGAAAAATATTTATTTGAGTCTAGACACGTATTCTTTCTAGATTTATTATGGATCAATTTCTATAAAGATAAGTGCTGCCTTTCAAGATGTTCGCACTTTCATCTGCTCTCTATTCCCATTCGGTTGGTGCTGGAATTTGACGTAGTTCTTGAAATGATTTTTCCTATACTTCTCTTCATAGCGATAGCCGCTGCACAACAAGCTGTATATAGCCAATGTGGAGGTGTAAGCTGGACCGGTGCAACAAGTTGTGCTACGGGCAGCACCTGTGTCTACCAAAACCAATACTATAGTAATCAATCCCTGAATTGCACTACATAGTAACTCACTCACCATATTGCTTAGGTCAATGTCTTCCCGGAGCGGATAGTAGTACTTCAAGTTCAAAAACGACAACAATTCCCCCGGCAACTTCAAAAATATCTACATTAACATCAAAAGTGTCTTCGACGTCAACTTCTACAGCTAAAAGTAAGATCCTGATCGATGTCATTCCGATCTTAACGACGATTGAAACTTGCTAAGTATACATTTAGGCCCCACGTCTACTGCAGGCATAGAATATTTCATAACTTTGTAAGCATAAATCATTCATACTCATGATTGAGCCTCCACTAATTCGGAGCCAGCGGCGACTCATACTCACAAACAGGCTTTGACCCGACTTTAACCCAACCGGCCGCTGGGAACCCCCTTGGAAATCCCAATCTTCAAGGCTTTACAACCACTGGTGGTCTTAATTGGGCAAGTAGACTAAGAAGCTCGAATCCGATTATGCACTAATGGAAAAATACGTAGATCGGCTATCTTGTTGAAACATACAATGTTACACTCATGTTATCATACAACTTCGCTTATGGAGGCGCGACAACCAACGCATCGCTTGTCGCTCCATACGCACCTACGGTACTCTCCTTGATCGATCAAGTGAATCAGTTCGTTCAGTACATTCCCTCAGGGCCTTGGTCGGCTAGCAACACGCTTTTCGGCATCTTCATGGGTGTTAATGATGTCGGGAACGCGTACTATCTCTCAAATTATACCACGGTACTGGGTCAAATCATGGATTCTTATTTTGCGGAAGTTCAGCGACTCTACGACGCTGGGGGCCGGAATTTTCTGTTTTTGTCCGTTCCACGTGAGTCTCCATGATGATGGATATCAACGGTGGAAATATCAGACACTAACGATACACAAAGCAACCCAAGATAGCCCGCTCTTCATAGCTCAGGGGACGGCGGTGCAGGCTTCTCTCACTACTGCTATATCGCAATACAATGCAGCTATAATATCACGAGTGACAGAATTTAAAGCGGCGAATGCTGAATCTAAGACCTGGGTATACGATACTCAGATTCCCTTCTTAGCCGCAATCAACAATCCTACAGCATACGGCTCGGCTGATGCCACTTGCATCAACGCCGATGGTGTCAGTTGCCTCTGGTGGAACAACTATCATCCTGGACAAATTATTCACAAGCTAGTTGCTCAAGGAGTGGCTGCACTCTTGAAGGGGACGTTCTGGTAGAGAGGACAATCATGGACTAGTGTCAAATCCTGGTTGATTCAGAAACAAGTACTTTATCTCTAAATCTGCAGGTCGCGACTGTAAGGTCACCTCTATACAGTCAACTCGAATTAAACATTTTATTCAATCAAATAATAACACATTATTGAATAATTAGACGGTAGTCAAATTTTCTTTGCGAAAAAATGGTGGAAGTAACAGCATAACTGATAGATGAGAAAGCCATTGATTAAATCAAAATGATGATTATTTGATATGTACATTAAACAATTGTTCAATGCGAACCGGAATACATACCATGCATGCATGCTATGGGGTGTAAGGATAGGCCCCGCGAAGAAGATAGATTATATATACGGAGGACGCCTCGAAAAATAATACGAGTATAAGGCCTTATAAGGTATCGGTACTATAAAAGGCCTAATGCTAACTAATGTTTAGCGAACCTATAAGAATTAGTATATAAATTTTTTTTTTAATTCTAATCCTAATCGAACAAAACTACAGGGCTAGAATAATTCTTTTAGAACCTAATTGGCCACTAATTTCCAGGGCTCGACCCAAAAGGTCGAATTATAGTGTATTATAGTGTTAATATTTTGCAAAGCTTTATAGTCGTATTAGTTTACGAGCCGTCCTCCGTACACTGCATCAACTTCGCTTGGACCCTTTTTCCCACTCCCGACTTCCGATAGAACTACATATAGGTTGTCGCGAAATCTGTACCCCACCAAGCAAACCACTTATGAATTGCCTGTTGCTCGTATTGGAACTGTTAAGAGTAGATACTTTGACAAATCGTAGCATGTCGGAATTTCAATCCAAAATTCTGACGATATCCAACATTAAACATGCCAACTGAACTTACCACAGCATCCCGTATTCTCATTGCAAGAGGCGGGACTTGGGCTGTATGTACAGCTATTCGCTTAGCCCGTCGAGGTTATATAGATGTCACAATATTCGATACATACTCCATACCATCTCCAATATCTGCTGGTAACGACATCAACAAGATTGTGGAAGAAGGCACGAACAATGGAATTTCCGGCATTGATCAAAAAGCTCACTAACAAATATAGGCTCCTTTCTCGAGGATGAAGATGATATCTCTATGATCTCAACAAAGCAACCCGGGGTTGGTTGCCATGATACAATTTTCAAACCTTACTACCATCCAAGTGGGTACATTGTGGCGGCGGATATTTCAGCTGCGTTGGAGCAGCTGGAGAAGCGAGAGACGCCTAATTCACGGATCGGTTTCGTGACATTAAATATTGCGGGAGAGTTCAGGAAAACTATGCTGCCGGGGGCATTGACAGGAGATTTTCCTGGTTGGAAGGGAGTGTTCAAATCTTCTGATGCCGGCTGGGTCCATGCTCGTAAAGCCGTAAAGAGTGCAGCCAAAGAAGCGGAATAGCTTGGGGTGAAGTTCATTACTGGATCACCCGAAGGCTTTGTCACTAGTCTCATTTTCGGGGATAGAGACGTGTTAGGCATTAAGACTGCGGATGGAAAGGAACATCGGGGCGATAGGGCAATACTTGCAGCTGATGCTGGAGCCGATGCACTCTTTTGATTTTAAAGATCAGCTTCGGCCGACGGCTTGGACTTTAGGACACATTAAGATGTCAGAGGATGAAATAACATTGTACAAGAACCTCCCTGTCCTTTTCAATATAGAAAAATGATTTTTTTTATAGAGCCGGACGAAGATAACCACGAGCTTAACATATGCGATGAGCACCCTGGCTATTGCAATTGGGTAAGTTGATATTTCGTTGACTTCGGAATCCGATTGAATCATTCAAAAGACGTCAGAAAATAAGAACATTCAGTCCGAATGTATTGAATTTGAGGTCGGAATCTATGATTACTGAAATACTGGTGGCATTTTACGAATATATGCAGCCGTTGGTGATCCTACTCAGCTTAGTGACTAGCAGTGAGGAGACACGAGTAACCATTGACCAAAGTATGCTTTTAGGTTCCGGGATCGGATGGCAAAACTAGGAGCATTCCATTTGCGAAACAAAAGATCCCAGTCGATTCTCAAAAGAGAATTCAATAATTTCTGTTAGAAACGATGCCCCATCTTGCAGAGCGCCCCTTATCCTTCGCTCGGATCTTTTGGTGCGCTGATACCCCGATCGCGCATTCCTAATCGATAACTCCGCTGGATTTGCCTCGCTAACTCTGGCGGTTGGTGCTAGCGGACATGGCTTCATGCACATCAGGAATTGGAAGGATCTACAAGGTAGATTTGGAAGACCGAATGAAATCATGGACTTTCAGGACGTCAAGGAGTGGACGCTACCAATCAGATAAAGAAATAAACCTCAGCATATGATACATACAAAAACACAAACATATTTCGCCATCTCTTCTGTGGGGACTAAACCAAATGAGTGTACACTCGTTTAACAAAGACACCCTTGAGTCAATTTGTAATTCTGAGATGGCACGCAAAAGAACTGATCCATATACAGTGTCCAGGTTGCAGTCCAATAAAGAAGGGCTTTAGAATGTCGGAATCATTCATTCTGAATATTGTAATCAAATCAAAAACTGGGATGATCTCGGATATCCTGTCTATCTAAAATGAATGACTTCAAATTGAGACTGCAGTCGGAACTATTGTCACCCCTAGCGGGACCAGGACCCGGGTGGTCTTGAGGCAATTTTGGTATTTTCAATTCATGGATGTATCTACGAATCTATGTACTCACCTATGTGTAGTCTGAGTATCCTCGAGCCGTATGACAAGCTTCATGTTGCAATTGACAAACATTCATAGTTCGACCGCTTATTCTTCTTCCCAAATATCCTGCTGCATCTGTCGTTCCCATATGCGGTTTGCCGACTCGACGATTTTTGCGGCTTTTGCATGAAGCTTAGCGTGGTACTTTTCCTCGTCATCAGATGCTAGGCGTAACTTCCTGGGTTGCGCAAGGAGTAGTATGGGTATTAATTCCTTTGAGTCTGCTCCCGCGATCGCACCAACTGTTTTATAACTATTGTCCCAGAAGATTCTTGCTGTTCGACTTTTGATGAATGTTATTTCCGCTAAGGCGAGCAAATCAGATTTGGCCCCTATGAATTGTTAGATGTAGTTGCCGATATCCACCAACCAGGAAATATGAATCCATAAAACCCCTTTGTTTTAGTAATGAGCTGGAGGACATACCAGCTTTGAGTCGGTCAGAGAAGTGATCAAGCACCGCAGCTAGTGCTCCCCAATCCATTTTCTCACAGAACTTAATCATTCCTGCAGCAAAGCCATGGCATGTTTGGGCTAGGTTTTGTATGGTTCCTCGTGGTAAGTCATATTTACGAGCAACTACATGAACCGGCATCTCGTTGCACAGGTCTCGAAGCTGCAAAGCTGTGTAGAACCTCTTGTACACCCGAGCGATTTGGATTTCTTCAGGCGTTGACTCTTTCATCGACCCTCCATGTGCCCTAGGAGGGAGTCAAGCGTCAACTAATGACTCGATGTGGGAGTAACAAATAAACTTACATTTTGTTGATCAATAATGGCTTGAGACCAACGAAACCAAGAACTCTCAAGTTGCTTTCATCAAGCATATCAACTTCCTTACGGAATATTTGCCAATTAATGTTGCCCTGCATCACTTGAACAGGCGTGAAAGTGTAAAGCGCATGCATTTCGCCGTCTAGTACAAATGCCTCGAGAGATTTCTGTAATTCTTTGTAAACGAATAAGCCATCTTCGGGGGCAAGAGAAGAAGCCACAACAGCCTGTCCGAGACGTGTAGCTTCGTATGAAAATGATTGCCTCTGTTCGATTAGTTTATTTTCCAGCAGATCTTTCATAGTCATTTCAACCATCGATCCTAGCCCTTCCTGATCAATCGTTTGATAGAGGAGGGTTTTCTTGACGTAATCGTCGATTGAATCACTGCTTATTGCTAGTTTCGTAGCTATCACTTCGAGTAATGCCCTTCGCACGTATCAGGACCAGCTGATTAATAGTGTCTATTTGGACTGTTATACCTTTTCATACCGCGCTTTCCTGGCACTAAACAACTTTCTACTGACGGGATCTCGGCTTCCATGAGCTCGGTAACGGATTCGAGGTCGGATTTTTGGCAACAAAGATATGTTTCGCCAATTTCATCTTTTCCTTTGCGCCCAGCTCTACCTCTCATCTGACGGCTGCAATAATCAGCATTTGCAGTTACTTGTGCCGGGGTAAGATAATTACAGCATTGAAGGACCAACCAAATCAGATCCCATCCTAGCACCATGTAATATTACCCGTCCTAATGGATCGTCAGCCTCTGCTCTCGTATAGATCAATAACATTTAGTGTTTTGGACATTGTCAGAGCCTTTTGGCACAGGAGCTTTCATAAGTGGATGACCCACTGGCAGGAAGATTGATACCGGCTGCCAGACTGCAAGTCGCTACCATTACTTTTAATACTCCTTCGTCGTAGGCAGCTGCAACCAAGTCGCGCTCTTCCGTAGTGAGACCAGCATCTACGGGCGTCAGAAAACCTAGCACTCAGAGAGAAAAAAAGGCACATACGATGGAACGCTACGCCCATGAGAACTGTTCCCTCCAGCACTTCGTCTAGACCACTACTCGTATTTCGTAGATCACTCAAAAGATCGTGTCGTCTATTCATGATAATTGGGTCAACAGTATCGATGGGAGGTAGCACCTGGCTTATTAGAAGTGCATCTCTTTCACAACCCAGCCGACCTACCATTAAACGAACTTAGTATTGCTGTTTTACAGCCTACAACAAAGGACTAAAATAAAAGACCTGAGTCTGCATGTTCAATCGGAGGGGCGGGGTGAAACATGGCACCTATACTCAAGTGGATTATCTAGGCAAAAACAACGAACCTAGGGACTACTTACTACTGCAAAACACTAGCACACCATAGCCACTTCTGGCAGTTTCATTGGCTAAAGCAACGACGGCGTTTAGTAATGGATTGTTCAGCTCTCTATGCTGGGAAATGTGTATTCGCCTATGAGGCTCCGGAAGTGGTTTCGTGGAATTGCCTCCGACCTGCGAATTTAGTTGTGAGGCTGTCTCGTAGAACCTGTTCGCACTTGAGGCCGGATATACAGCATTTTCAAAGACAAGGTGTTCTTCTACTGGAACAGGTCTGTAATTGGAAATATAGAATTTCGCATTATTGAGCCATTTAGCCAGCAAGTCTGCATTCTTTCCTTTGTCAGATAGACATCCCCATGAGACATTCACCAAAGAAAGGCTAGACTTACATCGAGTGTTGCGCTCATACCAACTATCTGCACACCTTGTTCCAAGCTAAGGAGCTTTGTAGCCATTAGTTCCAGTATATATCCGCGGCTTTCATCGTTTATGAAATGAATCTCATCCATGACCACGACACCAAGATTGCCTATGGAGCAATCATCAATTGCCGCATTGACAATCGAGTTAGCCTATCATTCTTAGTCAATGAATGCAAACCCGTGATGTATATATGCTGACGCACCTTTTCTATAGTGCATACTGCAATATCCATGTCAGACCACGTTGAGTTTGATTTGCTGCCACCATAAAATCCAGTCACTCTAATGGTGTTTTCATTGCCTCGACTTCGCCACATTGATGGCCACTTTGAGTCCCGAGAAGATGTCTCTTTAGAGATTCCCTGGACAATCTTTCGCAGCCACCGGAGTTTTTCTTGAACAAGTGCGACGTACGGCAATACTAACAGAGCTTTCTTCTCCGGGTTTTGTATGATCTTCTTGAGCATGAGGACATCTGCAACAAGTGACTTCCCACCCCCTGTCGGAGCAGTGTAGACAAGATTACGTTCTCCAGCAAGAGCACCACTGCGCAAAAGACATTCTGATTGCCATGGGTATATGGATTTAATTCCCAAGGCAGCAAAGTTGTCGATTAATTGATGCGGTAGTTGATATGCAGGATGTGCTAAATCAAGCAAGGGGTTTATTGTCGGGGTTGGCGTCAAAGCAAGATGCCTTCTCTGTGAATACTCGGAATAATTTGGAACCGTGATATTATCAATTTCACTTGCCTTTAAAGTCACTGGACTATCATTCTTGAGAGTTGGGCGGAGAAAGTCTGTTTGCTTGGAAAGTTTAGTTCGGCGATGGGTGTGATTAGGGGATGATGGGGAATCATTCAACTCGTCGAAAGTTCTCTTCACAGCAGCGCGGGAGACAGTTGAGGAAGCCAGTCTTGTTGCATCCAAGGTAGTTTTGTGATATATACCAGCCGGCGTCGCATTAGATCTCTTCATTTCCGAGTTAGGCTGGGCTAGGAATTGAATGTGTTCTGTGTAATTGTACAGAGAGAGAGTAATTCAAGGCACTTGGTAGGCAAAGAAAAGGCAGAGGGAGAAAAGACTGATGGAAGGTCAAAGCCAGATAACCTCGACAGAGCAATTCTTAAAAACAAATGATTTCTTTTTTATACAGAGTAAGCAAAACGATGGTTGAGTTAACCTTGATGAATTATGAATATTTGGAAGTCTCGAGTGGAGACTCGTACCTAGAAGACTTCTAAGATGTAACCTTAGGAGCGGGGTGCGGGCAGTGGAGGAAATAATCACACGTGATCGATCCGTCAGTTCATCGGGTTATTGGGTTTCCTATGTTTGGAGCTAGCAAGGATGTTTTGAAAAGCAACACCCCGCCTAAAAGTGGAGACTTTGAGCATTTGTACGGCTGCAGAGGATGGAGGATGTTCTGAATCGATGAATCAATGAACTGATTGATGAAGTGATTATGTAATTGATTAAATCGATGGATTGATGGGATTGACACCAAGAGTTTACCGTGCAGCTTATGACTCGAGCAACTGTTGTGGGCTTGAAGTACTGGGGAGGTATTTGTGACGACGGTAGAGGAAGCAATACGGCAACTTGTATTTCCTTTTAATACCTAGGTACCTAGGTGGTCGTTCCTTCAGATGACCATTCTTTCACTCATCCAGTAATTCGGGAAATGCTTTATTTCCTACGCCCGCTCACGGGGATATCATCAACAACCTCATCTATCTGTCATGCTCTGGCCTGCTCTCCTCTGCCCAGCTCTGCACTGCTTATGAAATGACTATCAAATGTTTTGTACACAGGTCTCAGGCAGGTAGATATCCAATTTGAACATGTGTACTCTGTAATCTATGCCTATTGTTGAATCATATCAATGTACAGGAGTACCCTACCGTCTACAGCACAATCATTCTTCAAGTCGCCGCCCGTCTTCTTCCACACCCAGCGGAAAAGGCTTGTTGATTCTATGCAGGCACCATTTAGCGCCACTCCATATCATCTTGTTTCGCCCAAGAAATTCTCATTCCCACCTTTTTATTCCATCGCTTCATACTTCACCACCGCATTCCCCAGTGGTCCAATCCCGTCCATCCATCCATCATCGCTTTCACTTCCTGAGAGTACAGAGTACACAGACTATTTCTCTGCACCTTTTAACTTGACCTTTAAATTTGAGTGAAAGACGAAAGTGCTTAGTTACTAATACTGATGCTGACTAACTACGTCAACTTTGTCCTTCGTCCAAGAGAGCTCTATCTATATCCGTGCATCTATCAATCTTATTACCTGCCTAGGTCCTCTCAGTCCCTACCTCGCACTCTATCTTCTTAAATATTTGTTATACGGCAAGGTACAGGACCACATTTTACAGCCAATCCATCCATCATACCCAACCGAACTCTCCCTCTCTCTCCTCGACCATTTTCACATTTACTTTTACCAACTTGAAATTATTTCCCGAATCATTCATCTAAGCTTCAAGTGCATAGTCTCATTTAGCTTGCCATTTTTCGAGCTCTCTCAACTCTCTCATAATCTTATTTACTCTCTTTATCAGTGACGATTTAGATATTGCCCCAATTTGGGTCATTTGTCCAGGGTTTGTGCATCTCCAAGTTAATTCTATATGTATGTTCTTGAGAGCTCACGAATAGCCTCGTCCCAGTTCTACTCATTGTCATCTGGTGGTCCTTCCACATTCGCCCTTTCTACAGTATCAAGAATTTACGTGTCAACTACACCCTTTCTGATTCCAAACTGCTTCATATTCAAGCAATCTCACAACCCCGATTTTCTCTCATGGGTCGAGACCTTGTCATAATCGTCCGGCAGCCTCGTATATAGCGCTTCTCGCACCTCGTTCTCGCGGGAAGCGCTCCAATTCACAGCCCGATACTTGATCATTTCGCCCACGAATTTGTTTGCGGCGCAATCGTCATGACCAAGGCAATTAATGCTGGTACTAGCGTCGAAGGCTCATCCAGTACCTTCCCCTCGCAAGAGAGCAATGCCGTTGAGAATGTATGCTCGACTCACGACTCTCACGCTGTAAATGCGATGGAGATCGTGTCTGAACCTCAGGCACCGGCTGATGCGCCTGGGAGAGGATTAGAGAAAGAATTGTTAGCTCTTCGCGATTCCGAATCTCACCCTATGGCCGCGACCAATGCCACATCTTCAAATCGATCGAACAAGGATGCCGGAGCCAGCGGTATTGGCGGCGCTGCCTATGGCACTCGATCGCGCAATCGCACCGGTACATCACGAATCAATTATGCAGAAGACAAGGAGATGGACGTGGACATTGAAATTGCAGCGCAAGAGAAAGAGGTGCGAAAGGCTGCTCGGGTCAATGATTCTCGCTCCTCGACATCTACCGATAATGGTTCGTCGACAGCTACCACGAAAAAGACAGTCGCCTCTGAACCAGAATCTGTCGCTACGACTCAGAATAACAACAAGGAACCTATTCCTGGCACCTCTACATTTTCTGCGAATCCGTCAGTATCAACGACTCAAAATTCCAAGAAAAAGAAACCTCCTGCTCAGACGGCCGCAGTCGCAGCTTCATCTTCGTCGCAGAACGTTGTACAAAATGGTTCGTTGGCACACACAACTACTCCTAGAGCGAGCATGGCTATGCACGAATCAAACATGTTGAGCTTCGATAACTGTGGCGCACGTTTGAAGGATGGGAAGCTTGTAGCTGATGATGGCACCGTTCTTTCAGTCAATGGTATGCATACCAAGGCCATGGATACACCCGCTCCTCAACCATACATTTCGAAATACTAACGCATCATCAGATCACGTGTATCTTGTTTGTGAACCCCCTGGGGAACCATATTATCTTGGTCGAATTATGGAGTTTTTACATATCAATAACGACGTCAAAGAGCCTATTGACGCACTACGGCTTAACTGGTATTACCGTCCCAAGGAAATTGGGAAGAAGGTTAGTGACACACGTCAAGTATTTGCATCCATGCATTCCGACATTAGTCCCCTCACAGCTTTACGTGGCAAATGTCAGATCAAGCACAAGGCCGAAGTTGAAAAGCTGGATGTTTTGAGATCGACGAAGGACAGCTTCTGGTACGACAAGCTGTACGATCGTTACATTCACCGATACTACGATGTAATTCCCACTTTTCAGGTCATAAATGTACCAGATCCAGTCAAGAAAGTCCTTGACGAGCGTTGGAAACACATTATTGTAGAAGCCGGGCGTGGCAAAGAGTTTACTAGTGCTGTGAAAACCTGTAAACGCTGCAGTAGGTACAGTGCAAGGTGCGTATTTTCGAATCCTAAAATATCTACCTGAGCTGATTATTTAGCAACGATTCTGTTGACTGTGCAGTTTGTCAGAATACCTATCACATGAGCTGCGTGAACCCACCACTGTTGAAGAAACCCTCGCGCGGCTTTGCTTGGGCCTGTGGACCTTGCAGCAAGGCTCAAGAAAAAAAACTCGAGGCTCGTAATACCCCAAATATTAATGATGGAACCGTTGACGCCGAAGATGACGAGATGAATGAGGATGAAGACGATCTACCCGTAGCACTAGGCGATGCACTGGATAAAAATGGGAACACCTCATCGGGGTCCCAAGATGTTGAAATGTCTATTCATCCAGGTACAGCGGAACAAGTTCATCAGGCAAGCCTATGGCTGTTTCGATATCTGGGAATACACTGCAAGGTTGAAGATGCACTGGACTACGACGATCGTATATATCCAAGGGCCAGCTCCAGAATTGGGAACCGTCATCAAGCCAATGTCCCAGCATGGCCTGGCAGACCTGTGGAGTATGTCAAGGCCGTGGAAATCAAGAAAAAATACATCAAGGGAGGGAGCAGTAGTCACAGGAAGGATGCAAAGCTATCAAAAGAGACTATAGCTGCATTAGAAGCCGACAAAATTGCCCGTGAAAAAAGACCGATCTGGGTCATGGATGAGCCAAATGGATATATTCCTCGTGGTGATGATGCACCCAACGATGATTCTAAAAATACGGCGACTCTCCAGTTCAAAATCCCAGAGGTCGGTGAGGCTTCTGTCAGAGCTGAACGGGGAATGGACGACGGCCCTCCGTCCTTGGACGTCCCTGCGTATGAGCAGCTGGTCAATGATTATATGATTCGTGCGAAAGCAATGGCTAAACCTTTAGGCTTACCGGAACGATCAACCAATTTGCTTGATGTAGCCTTGCAACTGCTTTATTCGAACAATTTTGATGTAGACAAAGCGCTCGATGCACTTTCCAAAACCGACAAAAAGGCATTCAAGGAGCCAGAGCTGACTTCGGCCGAACTTAAAAAATTCGAGGATGGCGTTACTAAATTTGGGTCTGAATGGCTTAGCATTAAAAGACACGTGAAGACTATGAGTCCTGCTGATGTGGTACGTTTTTACTACACATGGAAAAAGACGGACAGGGGAAAACAGGTATGGGGTAATTATTCAGGACGAAAAGGCAAAAAGGAGGCCAAAAAGGCCGAGGCAGCTTTGGGAAAGTTACAGGATGACATTGCCGATGATCACGATGATTCTGCTTTCGATAACGACAAGGTTTTACGGAAAAAGAAGGGATTCCAGTGTAAGTTCTGTTCCGTCAGAAGCTCGCAGCGATGGAGACGAGCTCCGAACACACCTGTTGGTACCACGGTACCTGAGAATCCCAACAGCAAAGGAGCTGCGAAAGAGAAAGGCAACCAACTTGTATTGGCGTTATGTCAGAGATGCGCTGAACTCTGGCGCCGCTATGCGATACAGTATGAGGACATTGAAGAAGTAGCCAAAAAGGTGGCAGCTTCAGGAGGACGAGCTTCGAAACGGAAAATGGATGAAGAGTTTCTTAGGGAGCTTAAAGCTGCAAACGAGGGCTTTGGGCAGCCTGATGTTCTTCCCACCACAGCACCTGTATCGGCTCATAGTACGCCCGCGCCCGCGCCTCCTGTTCCGACAACGTCGGAACCACCTAAGAAGAAAGTCAAACCCAGTTTAGACACTTCGGATTCTGTGCTCGAAAATGGTGCCCTAGTAACGCCAGCACAGCTGAAAAAGAAACCAATAGTCGAGAAACCTCCCGCCCCTCCGCCTCCTCCCCCGGAACCCCCCAAGCCAAAACTTCTTCCGTGTGCTGTTTGTGGCCAGATGGAGCCATTGGGAGACCAACATCTTTCTTGCAAAGAATGTAGAATGGCTGTGCATCGCAATTGCTATGGAGTTGTTGATAACCGAAGTCCCAACAAATGGACTTGTGACATGTGCCAGAACGATAAAGATCCCAAAGTGTCGATAGTGAGTACATTCAATCTTTCTTTGTTATATTTGTGTCATCGCTCACCATTTCAGCAATACAAATGCATGCTTTGCCCAGTAGAGTCCACAGAGCATGATTTCGTGGAACCGCCTAGGATCTCTCATAAGAAGAAAACCGAAAAGGAGCGCGAGCGCGATCGCGTAGAAAGAGAAAATGCACAGAAAGCTGCAGACTACTTTCGAAAAAAGCAAGAAGAATACAACAAACCCGTTAACCCTCGAGAGCCATTGAAGCGCACGGCTAATAACAACTGGGTACACGTCACCTGTGCTGTATTCACACCCGAAGTAAAGTTCGGAGATGCGAAAGCGCTCGTCCCGTCTGAAGGAATTCCTTCAATCCCTTCGAGTAGGTACGATGAGGTTTGCAAGGCATGTAAAAAGAAAGGTGGTGCCTGTGTGAATTGCCACTCATGTCGAGCTCCAGGTAAGAGTCACTTTACACATCCATATTGTCATGTTACTAAAGCATTGCAGTACACGTGGAATGTGCGCATCAGAATGGGTACATCTTGGGCTTTGATATCGCGCCCGTGAAGGGATCTCGCCGCGATCAACACAATATCGTCAATATCAATGGTGAGATGGGCGCCATGTCTGCCGCTATCTGGTGTAAGGAGCATGTGCCGACCAAGACTATTGTGCATCGCATGCATGATATCGTTGACGAAACGGGTCTCAATGCTTTACAACTCTTTGTACAAAACTTTAAACAGGCAGACTTGGCATTGACCGGCACAGTCCGAAAAGCGAACCTTGTCAATCAATCTACTAGAGCGGCCAGTTCTGTCCACTTTGCCACGTCCCAAAATCGTAGGACGTCGACGACGGGAGCTTCCATAACGACCCCCGTTAACAGACGTGCTTCTTTGGCATCAATAAAAGTTGAGGATTCGCCAGTGAGCACCTCACTTCCGTCACGCGATTCAGAGAGAATATGTGTCACCTGCAGTGTTGATATAAGCCCTAAATGGTGGCCGATGATTGAACCTCCTGTTACGACCAAGAGTCCTGCACTTCCCCTTGACGCGATACTAGGTCACGATCCTACAAAATCGGAAAGCCCTGGTCTCACCAATGGTCACTTACCTAACGGACTAACGGGTGAAAGAAATGGAGTTCATGTTGCACTCGCAGCTGCGGCCTTAGATCAAAATACAAAAAAGCCGGCTCCGGTACCTACGGAATTTCAATGTCACCAATGTCACTGGAAGAAGATTCGAAAACAACCCACGCCCACACCGACCCCTCCACCCATTCCTATACCAATAACAAGCGATCGCGAGGTTTCCCGACCTCCGGCACCCCCTCCCATTTCCACTGCTGCACCCGTCATTGCGAGTATTTCTCAACCTGAGCATGAGCGAAACCATACGCCTCATCAATATCCATGGCCCCCTCAACCTCCTTCATACGCTGCCACTGCTCCATCGTATCCATCTAATGCTCCATATAACAACTGGCCACGCCACTCCCCTGTGCCAGCTAACGTCGCTGTCGTACATCAAGTCAATGGCAATCATTCACCAAGGATGCCTGGAGTTGCGCCACAACTTGGAGGGCCACCTCATAATCGACAGCCTGTGCAAGGTCTACAGCCATCCCCCCACCAAAATGGACGCTTGTCGCAAACGCCCAACGGCTACCCACCATCCCCTCACCGACTTCCTGGACCACCACCTATTCACATGCAGAACGGAGGGTACGGGTCATATGTCTCCAATAGACCCGCTCCTCACCATTTAACCAACGGCGGACCGCCCCCTCGCGCTCCGGAACACCCATTCTCGCAAAGTAGCGCGCCAATGCATCCTCGCCCCTACGGTCCACCGCACGGCCCATCACACGGTAGCCCACCACTCAACCGGCAACTGAATGGTGTCCCTCCCCAATTAAATGGTGCGAGACCGAATGATAATCGCGTTAATGGTGGAGCAAGCGCAAGTCCATCACTGCGGAATTTGCTTTCTTAGAAGAGGGTTGGTTGGCCAAAAACACACACGTATCATCCAGGCCTTTTAGTTGGCGTTTACTGTTTTATCTCGTTTATGTACTGTATGATCCCAGTGTTACAAATTCAGGCGTTCGTTTTATGGTGGCCATTCCTTTTTCCAGGAGCATGGCGTTTAGAGACAACCACAATGTAAAATAGATTATCCAAGATGATTGGAGGTGGGAAACTAGAATCATTCATGGGAAACGGTAAGATGGGCTGGTTCAAAAATGGGAGGACGGTCCATAGTATATCAGAAATACAAACAACCTCGTGTACAAACCCAAATTGTGACGAGTTGCCGGTCTTGGAAGGCAAGACCTGAATGCCACAGTATCGCTAGAATAGTTTGCGGCCAACGGTCCGCCTCATATCACACCTTCAGGTAGGTACTACATATAAGAAGTGAGGATTAATTTTGAGAAGTTCTGAATTCTACCATTATAATGCTCTAGATTATTGAATTGTGCACTTGGCAGGCAAGCCGCATGGGCCCTCCTTATCGTTGGCACCTGTTTCTTTTCCCCTTTGCACTGTTTCTGTTCTCCGATTTGTTTGCTGAGTATTTTCCGTTGCTCCATTGCTATCTGCCCCTGCCGTTTTTGGCTGCGCATCCTCTACATCATTAGTTATTGCGGGACCCTGTCCATTAACGTTAGCAATTCAATCGAATCCGTCGTCGTTGGAACAGCTTACATCTAGTCACGCAAAGTTAACCTTGCTGATGGCCTTGCCAAACTCCTCGCCTTGAATGGTGGCGATTTCTAACTCGAGTGCAGAGGGTGATCGAGATCCGTCGCCACCCTCGTGATTTGTTAGCTACATTTCTTTCCAAAACGTACCGAAACACCGTAGTATATAATTCAAGAGAACGAATCAATAACTTACAGCGAAGGTTCCTGCGCCCCATGCTGAGCCACCTCTGACCTCTTCTATATTGCCGAGTTGTGCAAAGGCCTTGGCATATCCCAATGGAACATAGACGATGCCGTGATGAGCCAATGTCGATAAAGAGGAAATGACGGTGCTTTCTTGTCCACCGCCTGGAGTGCCGGTGGAGACAAAGATTCCAGCGTATTTACCCCAGTATCCTCCGGTTTGCCATTGGCCGCCTGTGGCGTCCCAAAAGGCTTTCCATTGTGCGGGGAAGTTGCCGTATCGGGTTGGAATGCCGAAGAGGAAGGCGTCCTACGAGTGGGAACGAGAGCGTTAGCCATGTGGTGGTCATGGACTTCCGTGGCCATTATTCAAAGTGCGAGGTAGATTGAAGGTGAAATTAGGATGACTATGTTCCCCTTGCTCAAAGTACATGAGAAGGTTCTAGATATACGGCAAAACTTACATAGGTAGCCAGGGTTGCCGGATCAATGATTGGAATGTTGGATTTAGCTGGAGCGTGCATCTTGGTCAATACTTCTTGTGGAAGAGTCTCTGGAACTCTAGTTGTAATTCTTAGTGACTGCTGTGTGACTGTAAATTGTTTCATGCTGATGCTTACTGGAAGAGATCAGCTTCAATTCCGGCTTTCTTGAGACCTTCCTTTTCGGCTTCGGCAAGCTTTTGAATGTGGCCGTACATGGAGTACTGTTGGAGATGTAACGATTAGTATTATGATAGGTTTTTGATAAATTGGTAGGAATGCGGGTAATGGGCTTCGACGTTCTATCCGCCTCTTGATGATAGCGGCGGTCTGTCTGTAGAGATGGAGCAGAGCTACTTACGAAGACGATAGCTACTTTAGGAGCCATGATGGTATATAGGTAGATGGTAGATGATAGATTTGATTGAATTAATACAAAGAACTAAAAAGTTGGTATGAAGAGTGAGAGAGGAAGAGAGAGATAGAGAGAATAGATGGGGAAAAGTCTTCCTTTTATATTTCAATCCATTCCGATGTAGTCGAGTGTGTATTTGAGTTATTGATTATAGTATAGGTAAGGTTTTACCAGGTAGGTACTACCTACTTAATAAAGCTTGGTGAGAACATACAAAATGGGATGTGAGATTACCTAATCCATTCATGACCTTGGTAAAAACTTCCTTACTAAGGATCATGCTGCTATATAAATTATTGGTGATTGATTATAAAACAGAGCTTACCCAGTATTTACCTAGTACTTACTAGGTATATCAAGCCACATTTCTTTGCTTGCATTATCAAATCATTACGATAGCTTCAAGTAAGCAATTGTAGCAGCGGGGTTTTCTTCATTTCTTCCTCTTGATTGGATACTATCTCCCGCTCTGCAACCCAACAAAAACTTTCAATTGATGATGATTAATCTCATTGCATCCACCAATCACAACAAAGCAAACAGAAAAAATATCACCACCATAACCATGCCCATCATCACCATCACGACCCATCACGCTTTCTAAATTTGGTTAACGTCGATAGTCATTGGAATGTCGCCTTTTTGAAACTCAATGTCATTCTTTCATGCGAGGGGGAACTTGCGCATATACAACGCAATCGCCCCATTTCATCCTCTAAATACCAGACGATGTACTGGCAATTCTTCGTCTCATATCGCTCTTTTATCTGCTACTAATCATATTTTGGATTTCAAACCTCAACTTATTCACCGAGGGAAAAAAACCAAATCTTCTTTTAATTTCAATGACCTTCCTCATGCTTTGGATTTAAGGCCTCTGGAGTCTTTACACCTGGAGCGATCAATTATTAAGAATAAGTCACCAGATAGAGCTTCGTTGGAATTTTCCGAAGATGTCCAGGGTTTATTCCAGGAGCCAGAGCCGGCGGCAGCTGCGTCTCAAGAATTGCCAAATTCCGCAGCCTTGGAAGATGTTGGAGAGGACAGCAAAAAGGGGAAACTATCAAGGAGAGCCAAGCGGATGGGAAGTTTACCTCAAGGTTTGATAACTCTCGACGCTGAATCCTTAGAAGTGCAAGAATCTCTGTCATTAGGTGGGAACAAGGTCAAAAAGACTCAAGCATCAAGCGAGGTAAAGCTTCTCCAAGGACTTCTTGCTTTGGAACCATTGGAAATTGAACATGAGCCGCCGCCATACCCGACTGTGATCATGCAGGCACGTAGTAATATGCTCAAGTTCGAGAATTGCGTGGTTGTCACTCGTGTTGGTGGTTTTTATGAATTATATTTCGAGCATGCGGATGAGTATGGTCCACTTCTAGGCCTCAAAGTTGCCCAGAAGAAGACAAATGCTGGACCTGTTTCCATGGTAAGTCATCATAATGTAATCAAATCACCATGTAATAACGGTGAATAGGCTGGGTTTCCCTTTCATCAACTTGATCGTTATTTAAAGATACTTGTCCAAGATCTAAACCGTTATGTTGCTATCTCGGAAGAGTTTCCACATGATCTTTCGGAAAAGGTAAAATCTGGAGGTCTGATGCATGACCGAAAAGTGTCACGGATTGTTACACCCGGCACGCTCATCGATGAAGGTTTTATGGATCCTCTATCGAATAACTATGTGCTTGCCATACATGTGCAACACGATGAAACAGCTGAAGCCCTTGAGCAGGGAAGTCATCATAAATCAATCGGATTGGCTTGGCTGGATCTATCGACTGGCCATTTCTTCACACAACAATCATCACTATTGCAACTTCCTTCTTTCCTGGCCCGTGTAGCCCCACGCGAAATTATATTGGATGAAGAGATGCAATCTTTTAAAAGCCACCAAGTATTTACCATTCTCACCGATGAACACCACATAATCACTTATGCAACCCTATCTGGAGTGAAGCCTATATCTGAGTGGAGTCCTATGCTAGAATCAGCAGTCTCACCGTCCTCGGCCGATGCCTTTTCGGAAGAAGAGGTGTCGGCTGGTAGTTGCTTGCTTCAATATGTCGAGACAAGATTACAAAGCACAAACATGAAACTTCAACCTCCGGTTCGCCAATTGAATGTCATGGGAATCGACAAGAATACCATGAGAGCCCTTGAGATTAAAAAGACCATCAAGGATGATACCTTCAGTGGGAGTCTATTGCACACAATTCGACGAACAGTGACCAAAGGAGGTGCAAGACTGTTGGAAAATTGGCTTGGCAAGTTTGTCCTGTGTACTTAACTTTATCTCAGTGTTTCCAAAGGCTAACGAAAATAGCTTCACCTTCAACATCTTTGGATGTAATAAATTCGCGACTCGATGTCGTGACATACATGCTTGAAGCTGAGCCTCTGCGGGAGCGAATGATAACTCTCCTGAAACGCAGCCACGATTCCCATCGCCTACTACAAAAATTTGCATTTGGTAGAGGAGATGCTGATGATCTTCTCGATCTGGCTAGCACAATATTTGCCACTCGAGATCTCGCATTTGCACTTGAAATCCAGAATGCCACATCTGAACCTTGCATACAGGAATTACTCGCTCGTATTCACCTCAAAGGCCCGATGGAACTAGCCCAAGCAATCAAAGACGCCATCGACGAAGAGGGGCTCGTCCAACAACACCGTATTGAAGAGGGCGAAAGTGGGGAAATGCAGGCATTGGCCGAAGCGATCGTTGCTTCAGAAGGAACCACAGAAGAAACTTCCTTCCTCCGAAAAAGCCGCAAGAAACCCGCCAACAGCATTCGCGAGTACTACAACCAAGAAAACGAAGCCTGGATCATGAAATCAACGGCTACTCCGACCCTCAAACATCTTCACGAAAAGCTCTCCTCTCTCTCTGATCAAAAAGGCGCCCTGGCAGCCTCTCTTTGCGACCGTCTTGGCGCAACAAGTCTCACCCTTCGCTTCACCCCCGGTCTCGGCCACATCTGCCACGTCAAAGGCAAAGATATAAATCTCAATATCCCCGAAGCCCGCACCATCAGTTCCAGCAAAAGTACGCGCTCCCTTCACCATCCCGAATGGTCAGCATTAGGCCAAGAAATCGACCAATGTCGCATCCATATCCGAGCTGAAGAACAACGACTCTTCTATAAACTCCGTGAATTGGCCATCACCAACCTCATTAAGCTTCGACGTAATGCTACTGTATTGGATGAAATCGATATTGCATGTTCATTTGCTACTTTGGCAGATGAGAGGGGTTGGATTCGTCCTGTCCTCAACACCAGTTCAGCGCATAAGATTATTGGCGGGAGACATCCTACAGTTGAGACTGGACTAGAGGAAGAAGGACGGAGTTTTATCTCAAACGATTGTCTCGTGGGAGATGTCCATCGGGCATGGTTAATCACGGGACCCAACATGGCTGGAAAGAGTACATTCTTGCGACAAAATGCGTTGATTACCGTTCTTGCACAAGTGGGTTCGTATGTACCTGCCGAGTATGCAGAGCTGGGAATTGTGGATCATATATTCAGTCGTGTTGGATCTGCAGATAATCTCTACCGAGATCAATCTACGTTTATGGTGGAGATGTTGGAGAGTGCGGTGATCCTTAAAAATGCGACATCACGATCATTTGTTATTATGGATGAAATTGGTAGGGGAACAACACCTACTGATGGTGTTGCTGTAGCTTTTGCATGCTTGCATCATCTTTATCACGTGAATAAATGCAGGGCATTGTTTGCAACTCATTTCCATTCATTGGTGGATCTGATAGAGGAGGATGAAATGGACGCAGTGGGCTTCTATTGCACAGACGTGGAAGGAGACGATGGGGACGTGGACGGAGCATTCAGATATATGTATAAATTGAAGGAGGGTGTCAACAAACAGAGTCACGCTCTCAAGGTTGCCAAATTGGCTGGATTGCCAAGAGAAGCTATCGAGGTTGCTAGGCAGGTCTTGGGGGGAAAAGATATGAATTCTGAATAGAGTCAGTAGTTGATCATGGCCATGATTGTTTGAATAACGTAAAGTTAAATATAAAAAGCATTCAGGAAAAAATTAGAGTGTTGTTTTTAATCTTCAATGTGCGCATGCACTCAGGGTTAAAAAGCTATGAATCGTTCATCACAAAGCTTCAGGGAATATAGGAAATATGTAAGATAGCGACTGACCTTCGGAGTGTTACAGACTTGTGATTTTTACATCACATTTCAATGTCATACCACGATACACATTCTTTGGCTTGTTAAGTTTCTTTTATTTCCCAGAGTCAAGATACTTGTATGACTACTAGATGGCTATCATGCCCTCTTATATATCTTTTCAGACATACAGAGAATTCATAGCAGATAGATCATGGACGAACTTAGTCGAACATTCCTCCGAAGCCCTCATCAGCAGACTCCTCAGCCTCGGATTCCTCCTTCTTGGCTTCTTCAACAGCGGCGGCTGGGGCGGCCTCAGTGGCGGCAGGTCCAGCACTGGCGTAGGCCTCTGGGTTGGCAATACGGTCCTTCAATTCATCAATCTCAGCCCAGCTGTAGTCGGTAGAGATGGCAACGGCCAAAACCTTCTTGTAGCTGTTGACAACAGAGTGCATAACAGATGGAAGGGTTGGGAAGTTGGCAGCCAAGGAGATAGCAGCAATGGTGGTAATAGCACTGCTGAAAGCCTTGAGAAGTTGAGCCTCCTCAATGTCGAGAACGCTTGGTGGGAAAGTGTTACCAGCATCGTAAACTTGGGAGATACCCATACCGTATGTGAATGGAGAGATGTTCAACATGTTAAGAAGGGTAGCCTCGGAAGCTCCGACCTTGGAACCAGCCTCAACGAGCTTCAAGTCTGCGGTAATTTCAATGGTACCACGGGCAATCTTGGTTGGGACACCGAGAGCTTGGAAGAAAGAGGTCTTTCCTGGTTCCATACCAGTGTTACCGGCTGGGACGAAGACATCGTCTGGGGCAACGGCACCGGCTCTAGCTGGAGCAGCAACCTTGTTGTCGAGAATTTTGTCACGGATGGTCTTGAGGTCTTGGTTGGTGAAAACGAAACCGACGTTACCCTTAACGAAAGGAAGGAGTCGCTCGTATTCTGGGTTCTCGGCGATGAAGCCCTTGACAGCACGACGGACCTAATCAATCATAAAATTAGCTTTCTGGATGCGCAAAAGACAACAATTCCTTCAATCGGCGTCAAACGTACCATGGTGTTCTTTCCCATCAAGACAACACCCTCACCACGGAGAGATCCACGGATCTCGTGCATCTGTTGAGAGCTGACATTGTCGACGGTGACGATGAAGATGGACTTGTACTCCTCGAGTAAGCCCTTGAGCTTATCGAAGTAGCCAGCCTTGTTGTCGGATTTGCCCCCCATATCTTCTTATTTTTGAAGGTAGGATGTTTAAGGACAAATTTATTAGATTGGAGTAGAGGGAATTTGTTCTTCGTTGAAGAGTTGCTGCGATTGTCGCAAAGGTTGGATTAGAATAAAAAAAAAAGAACCTGTTGATGAGTTTGACGAAATTCTTAGAATGTGGGAGCCGCTAGTTTTTAGCGCCATTTGATATGCGAAAATATCGTTTGATTGGTGAAGAATCTCTGACCCCTAGTAAATCGAGATTCTACGGTAGATAAATATTTTAATTTTTGGTATTCTCTGGTGTGTAACTTTTTTATATTAATTTTTTTTGTATTTTGATATACAGGTGACCACAATTTTCAGGAAGAATAAGAAGAATTACCATATTAGGAAACAATATATCTTCTTTTTTGCTACCATATAAAACTCAACTGAATAGGTTTCACCCACATTCTATCGGAAAGATGTCGAAACTCAGATCACCATACCAATGTCTCAAGCAATGTGGTAATTATCTCGTAGCAGCGCGAGGCTCAAGTATAGACACTTTTGATGTCAGGAATGGTTCGTACCTTTCAACATGGAAGTCTCCAGTCGCAGAAAGTATGAACCGATCGAACACAACCGAACAAGAGACGCAAACCAAAAACGAGGACCAGAATTCAGACACAGCAACTCCAGAGTTTATATTGGATTCATCAACTCCGCCAGCAAAGAGACGGAAGTTATCTATCACCAAAGGATCCGGAGAAAAGACCGTTGTGGTACAGCAATCAAAGAAGAAGACGAAGAACTCATCACCTAAGATTTTTGAGCCTTCGCCCATTACTGCTTTAACTGTCACAAGAGACCTTCAACACGTGATCGCAGTTACCGGCGAGGATAAAACCATCAGAGTGCTGGCTTGGGACGATACAGCAAACAAGGGATTGAAACAAATCAGTGATCGGTAGGTTTAATTTACTTTCACAAAGTGATTCTGACTGATAATTTCAGTACTATGCCCAAACGACCATGCGCTCTAGCCATTACCGATGACTGTAATACCATAATCAGCGCCGACAAATTTGGGGATGTGTATTCTCTCCCTCTCATTCCATCACCTTCGGTTCCTTCGGCTAATGAAAATGCTTCTATCCAAAAACATGCCCCAAAGATGTTTCAACCTTCAGCCAATGCACTTACAGTACATTCGGCGCGCAATTTAAAAGCTCTTGAGGCTCAAAAGAAACAGTCTAATAAAGTGTCTGAAAAAACCGGTCCAGATTTCGAGCACAAGCTACTTCTTGGTCATGTTTCCATGTTGACGGATATCTTGGTGGCTACCCTGTCAGATCGCCAATATATCCTCACGGCCGATCGTGATGAGCATATTCGTATTAGTCGTGGAATTTCTCAGGCACATATTATCGAGAATTTCTGTCTCGGCCACATTGAATATGTTAGTCGATTATGTATTCCTTCTACAAGACCAGAAATTCTTATTTCTGGCGGTGGTGACGACGATCTATACATTTGGAATTGGCTTAGTGGATCTTTGCTGTCAAAAACAAACCTCAAGTCTCAAGTCGAGGCACTTGATACAGAAGACCAAAAAAGCGCACAAGAAGCCGAGCCTAAAAAGATTGCAGTAACTGGAGTTTATCATGCTAAAGATGAAGTAACTAATCAAGATATCATCATAGCTACTTCTGAAGGGTAAGTTCCCCCTCCGGCCCAAAATCATGACTAACCCCCAAGCTAACAAAATCTCCAGTGTCCCAGCTGCCTTTATCTACATTCTCACGACGTCGAACCAACTCACCCATACTCAGACCCTCGCTCTACCAGGCAACGCCCTCTCTTGCAATTTTAGTAACCCCACCCTGTCGTCCCAATTCTCCCTCATCATCTCTATCGATAACATCCACGAACGTAGTTCAATCACCACCCTCAAGGATGCCAACTCCTCAGTTACAAACCCTCTACAATTTTTCAAATACGAAAATGAGAAATTCGTTAGCGTGCAACAGGATGGATTTGCACCGCAGGATAGCAAGGGAATTTTGGATGACCAGCAGAAGAATAACTTATGTGGACTGTTGTATAACGTTGGCAATTTGAGGAAGATGGAGGATGAGGAATAAACAAGTCCATGTGTGTATGCTAGTTAGCTGGCGATAGATCATTCAAAAGGGAAAATACCCCAACGAAATTATTACACCATCCATATATGACCATTTCTTCATCAATGTATATATATCACAATCGACTCGCATAATCAAAAACCACATACCGTACCACCCACCATCACCTTCACACCATTTCCCAATGTCAGTTCCCACCCAATCCATTCAATTCATTGCAAACGTCAGGACCATTATTCCATTTGACTAGGTACATATTACCATATATAGATTTCCATTTCACACGATTCAAACACCCGAGCTTCGTTTTCCCACCGTGTCTCAGATTTCAAGCATCTATCTGGTTATCCCACCCAACCGCCAAGCTTCTAACTCAAAATGAACATCATAACACATAGCTCCATGTATGACAGAACCAAGTAATTCCTCTTCCTTATCGAACATCTCATTGAGTCGCCTTGGCCAAGTCGGTCGACGACTGCGCTGTAACCACTTCGGTGGGTGGGGTGTTTGATAAGCATACAAAAGACGGACAAAATTGACCCATTTCGAAAGGTTCTGCTAGTAATTTTGGCATGTAAAACATGGTGTTTTGCTTATTTGTTTGTTAACTTCCTATTTCCCCTCTTTTTTTAAATTGGAAGGGGAAGGGGAAGTAAATTGAATTGAATGAATTCGACAGAAGGTGCGATGATTTCGCTAAAATTTCTATTCCATAAATTCACCACTCGATTGAGTTTGTCCCAAAAAGATTGAACTATTCACAGCAATCAAGCTTTGTATATTACGCAATATACCCTTCTTTCTTCTTCTCAAGTCTGATTCTTAGTTTTTCCCTCCATTTAGCCACTGCCCTCCGTACCGCATCCGCGACCTCCGGTCCCTCCGCCTTCTCAATTACCTCCAGAACCCATCTCACTCTCTCCGTTCTCCCCCATTTGCCATCTCTGACATCCGTAATAATCCCCACCCGTGTAACCGCCCTTGATATTTCAGACGTCGGTTCAACCTTATGCGCACGAAGGTAATGCCAACATTGTGTAACATTACGAAGAGCCTGTCTTGGATTTTCAACCTTGTGATGTGCGAATGCTTTAGCCAATTCGTGCACCAGTTCAATTCGAGCCTGCGAGAGAATCTTGTGCGATGGTGATTTTCTTTTCCACTTAGGCATTGCGGCGTAGATGGGTGCGTCTAACGCGGTCCAAATTCCTTCGCTTCCGTGATATACCATTGCAGCGAATAAGGAGGCACAAGCCTCAGGTTCGACTCGGCCTACACAATGCTGCATGTATATATTGTAGGCCGCTTGTAGATCTACGGAAGCCGTGCTGTTAACAAGGCCTGCGAGGACATCGGTATTGACCCGGATGTTGAACATTTTCGATTGCTTTAGTACTGCGTGTATGTGTCCGAACGCCTCAACATCCAGGAGAAAGTCTAATAGACTCTGTATCATCCCATCACTCAACTGGCCATACTTTTCCAAACTCCACAAAAGCCATCCAAAAGAAAAAGGGGAATGAAGGGTCTTCATTTGAAAAGTGTCGATGATCACGCCGCCATTTGTCAAAATGCCTTGGCTAGACCAACGGTTTAGAACAAGTTCAGAGACTTGGCGCCAAGTCAATGTATATTTCTTAGTGTCTAAACCGAACCGGTTAAGGCCCTTCTGCTGCAACGATATGAATACTTCAGCAAACATTGAATCATCAACGTTCCCCAACTTGGACAATACGGTAAGCCAATTGAACCGTATCCTGTGGGATTGGGCAAGATAGTCTTTGAGCCCCGTAACACATCTTTGGTCCCAGAAAGTTGCAGAGCAGATTAATTCTGAATGAGATCTGATTAGAGTAGAAGTCACCTCTTTAGATAGAGCAGCTAGGGCAGTACTCATTGCATCTATGGAGTGACTGTGGGGCATAAATATACTTTCCGCACACCATAATTCGTTGTCGGCAACGGAAAAGTCCCTACAAGACCGAAGGAAGATATCCAGAATGCGTTGGATCAATTCAGGCGTTTCTTTACCTCGATTGGACCACATTAGCATACGAATATGATTAATGGCCCGTTGCGAGGCTATCAAAGATGCCTCTGCCTTGGCCAAGAACCTTGCATCTGGAGGATTTTTTGATTTTTTGAGCCAACTTAATGACCACTTATTTAGTAAGGGCAAAATTTTGACTACGTTACTCTCGACTTGAACTGCAGACAGCGAAGGGAGGACTTCAGAAATCAAAAGTTGTGTTTCCTTGGTGCTTGGCAGCGCTGCCAGCAAAAGTAGATACTCTCCCACAACTCCGGAATCAAAATCGGCGGGCTCGAGAACCTTACAAGATACAATGCCGTCCCAGACGAACTTGTGAAAAGCAATTATTTGCTCAGTCACGCCAGAACTAACCCCGCGAAAACAATCCTCCGTGTTAAGACCCTCCTTGGTAGAGTTTTTAGTGTCAGAGAAAGAACCGCTACCAATTTCCATGAAAACGTTTGTGACAGCTCGAAGTGACTTAGATAGTAGATCACTAGTAACTAGCCCAAGGGTAAGACTTTGTTGGAGTTTTTCACCAAAGGATAAGCAAAGCTTCAGAGCCTTGGTAGATTCAACTAATCGTCGATGTCGGCCTTTATTCTTTTTGGCTTTCCGGTCCCTTTTCATCTCAGTACATTCCCGACGATGAGCTTCTATTGCCACTTCAAAATCATAAAAATGATCTTTGATCTGTCTTTCCTGTTTTAACATGTCATAGAGGTCCTCAGTTGATTCTTCTACCTCTGCGACCTCCGTAGAAATGTCTGTTAGTTGCTCGGGCACAGGAGTCCAATTGGTTAACCAGGATGGTAAAATTGGCGACTGCTTTGGTTGTTCACTAATCCGAGGTGTTGGAGCCTTCCACTGCGATTCAATCTTTTCTGGCCCCCATGATGAGCACCACAAAGCTCCCAGATCGTACATTGGAGCTTGTGTCATTTCCGTGACATGTGCCATCCGTCTTCTCCCCAATCTCCTCCTACTTTCCATTGGTCCTGGCACTGAACTCCCATGTCGACGTATTGTATTTGAAGCGCCGCAGAAGCGTTGAAAAGCATTGTGGGGATCCTCTTCAGAAATCCATACACATTCAAATGAGGTGGTAAGATGATGTTTGAGCCTCCGAAAAGAAGTCGATGGGCGAGGGAGCATCGCTCGTTGAAAAATATGCCAGCCTCGTTGATGCTTTGCGATTCGACATTGGTGAGGTATTGGAATTCAGGTCTTCTCGAAATAAAGTGGTATACTCTATAACTTCACACACAAGACAGATATCGTACCCGCGAATGAATCCAGCGGGGTCCTTTATTATTATTATTTAAGCTTCATGCATCATTTCCATTGCGAATAATAAACTGAAGCCCGGTAAATAGTTTTTCCAGAGCCTCCCAATTTTGTGGATCTGGAAGCTCGGGTTTTGGTGAGAATTATGAAATGCTGATGGCAAGGGAATAATAGATCAAGTTTCATAGTGACTTTACACTTCAATTAGGTTTATCTTCAACTCCTCGTCTCCTTCTGATCACCATAAATTTAATTGTCAAACAACATTTCTTACTGCACAAGAACATTTCACATCCTGACCTTGTGCATTTGTGGTGCTTCTTGAGAATTCCCCTCATTTGGTTGAGCCACAAATTAGTATACCATGGAGCATCAATTTGAGCCGTTACAGAATGATCTCATCCTTAGGACAGCATGGGGTAGGTATCCTCATCCCTATAGTCTTAGAATGCTAATTGCTAATGAAGTCCAGGTCACAAGGTAGAACGACCACCAATGTGGGTGATGCGCCAAGGTATGTCCAGAACATTCGGAGTCAATGAGGTTTATGAGGTAGAAATAGCTAATATCTGGAACTCCTCATAGCTGGACGTTACCTACCTGAATATCATGAAGCAAAAGGCAAGAATGACTTCTTCGAATGCTGCCGCTCTCCAGAAATCGCATCGACATTGACTCTCCAGCCCATTGAACGCTTTTCCGGACTTGTCGACGCAGCTATCATATTCTCCGATATTCTAGTGATTCCTCAGGCTCTGGGGATGACTGTAGAAATGGTCGACAAGAAAGGTCCTCATTTCCCGGAACCTCTTGAATCGCCCAATGACGGCCAATACGAGCGAGTTCTGAAGAAAAATGTGGATGTTGCGGCAGAGTTGGATTATGTTTACAAGGCAATCACTTTGACGAGACACAAGTTGAAGGGAAGAGTTCCATTGTTTGGTTTCTGTGGTGCACCATGGACATTGTTATGTTACATGGTAGAAGGAGGAGGAAGCAAGCTATTTGTGAAGACGAAGACCTGGGTTTACAAGTATCCAGAAGCCAGTAAGGCTCTCCTTCAGAAGATTGCAGAAGTGTGTGTAGAATATCTAGCTCTTCAAGTCAAAGCTGGTGCACAGGTGAGTCCAGTGATCGTTTATGAATCCCCCGCCCCGACTCTAATCATTATATTAGCTGGTTCAAGTTTTCGATTCTTGGGCTGTAGAGTTATCCCCATCATCTTTCAAGGAGTTCTCACGACCATACCTTGCATACATATCGGCAAATCTACCAAAACGCCTAAAGGAACTGGGGCTCGAGCAAGTTCCAATGGTCGTGTTTGCGAAGGGAGCCTGGTATGCGTTAGATTCCTTGTGCGATTTAGGATATCAGGTAGTAGGTTTGGACTGGCTACAAGACCCAGCGGAGGCCGTCCGGATACGAGGGGATCGCCCAGTTGTCTTCCAAGGCAACGCAGATCCAGGAGTTTTATACGGAACCCGGTCAGAAATCACTCGAGTAGTCCAAGAAATGGTAAATGGTTTTGGTGGAGGAAAGCAAGGGTGGATTGCGAATCTCGGTCATGGTTGGTATCCTCCAAAAGTTGATTGTTCCTCAACTAATTCGTTTCCCATAGGTATTACGCCCTTCGTCAACCCCGATGATTTGAAATTCTATTTCGAGGAAATCCATCGGTTGACCCAGTGATAATAAATCTATTGAGTGTATCACTCTTTGGTATGGACCCTCTTCTCAACTCCAATATCTTCATTCCTACGAGAAGTAATGTGTCAGAGATAGCTGGCTGGAATCAAAATTTTATGACATACCACAATTCTGGTCTCTCGCTGATAAATCTCTCCATTAATTCCTGGCACTCTTTACTTTGCATGTTGACGACCTCGATTCCTCTTTGCTTCAAATAGGCTTCACCACCAAGGAACGTGTTATTTTCGCCAACGACCACTCGTGATATTCCATACAAAAGACATGCTCCAGTACTTTCCACCGTGATTAGCATACCGCAGAGCTGTGTTTATGATTACAAAACGTACCACATATCACATGGGGACAATCTACCAACTATTCGTTAATTTCATCTACTTCCTTCAAGGTATTATGTTTGATATTGAGGATATTCTCTTGACATACGTTGTGTACATGGTCGACCCCTTATAAGCCGAGGCAGGAAGGCGACCCGAGTTTTCCAGGGCGGATGTCTCCCCCTAATTTGTAGTGAGCATCTTCATCCACCCACCAGCTAGAATGGGACCTCACATGATGAATAGCACTTCCTTTTTGTACGCGCATGTTATGACCACGGCCCAAAAGTTTTCCTTCTCTCGAGACTAAAGCTGCCCCGATCTGGTACGATATCTTTGATTAGAAATGGCAAAAGAAATTGACCTGCATCGGTTCTGGATATTCATACAGGCACGCCACCTTCTTCATATCCGATGTTGGCTTCCTCGACTGCAATTGCAAATCCTTCTTGATCACTTAGAAGACTCATGATGGAAGTGGTTTTGGATGGATGAGAATGGAAGAATGAGGGGTATTTTGCGAAGTTAGAATGAAGGAAGAGATAGGGACCAAGTAGGAGGCTGGTCTAATTAAAAAAATTGTTCCTTTAGTCATGAATTTGTGACCTCTCCATATATATTTGTTATCCTAATGCAGAAGCTCCAAGAAATCTTGGTCATCAGTTTCTTAGTACTGCATGTGCACTGTACATACTCTAGCCGGTAGTTTCTTATCGATAAGAAACCCTATCATACCTCGTATCATGTCTTTTCTTTTTCTCCGGTATGTCATCATCATTGGTGGTGAATAAGGGACTTCGGGCCCCGGATTGATCTTTTGACTTGCTGACACTGCTAATCCAAAAATAGTTTAGCCTAGCCTTACATGAAAACAAGTACGCACGGGTAAAGAAATCAATTCAGAGGGAGAGGAGAGAGATGGAAACGAGAAGCCGAGAAGAATATACCTACAGTACCTAAGTATGTATATATATTAATTATGTTAAATACCTCTAATAAATATACTTATTTTAAACGATGAATATAAAATAAATGGAACAAAAAGTTATAAATCACTGCACCGTTAGAATGATTTGTTAATATGTATTTGATAAGCATTCCTATTCACCACCTATGAAAAAAAAGATTCCATGAGGATCCTTGTCCACTTTCGAGACCCTTCTCTGAGTTTCTAAAATGTTGCCGCTTTCTTCTTTCCAATGTGAGGCAAGGAAGGACAAACCAACCACTCACCCAAAGCTACCATTCAATTTATTATTGATAGTTTTGTTAGTTGGGTCAAAAAACTTGTTAACTTTCTTTCCACCAAAGTAAGATCTCACAATCAAAAGAGAATCATTCCCCAATTTCTACACAATCTCCTCTCTCTCTCTCTCTCTCTCTCTCTCTCTCTCTCTCTCTCTGTCTATTTTTCTCTTCAACTAACTAATTCATTCGAATTTAAAGCCCGAGTTTACCTGAGTGAAGCGTTTGGTCTTCCTATCTACAAGTATCTCAACCTGAGATTGATCGATCCCCATTGAAGGAAGATACTTTGGCTGTTCTTTCTCACAAACTTTCCCATTTGTGCGCGAAACTGTGAAAGTCCCAAATTGTAAGTAATTTACTGTTCGGCATTTGTCTTTATGCAATCTCTCTATAGCAGAATCTTAAACAGTATCGAACTGTACAATGATGAGTTTTATCTATGAGATGCATATGGCAATTTATTACACTGGTTTCGTTCAATCTCAGATAGCTAACAATCCCACTACAATTCTAGATCAGAAAAGAGTTTAATTAGACATCCGAGTTAGAGTCTCTCCTGGCTACCACAGCACATTCCGATACAAGAAGAGAGGAAACCAAAGAGACTTCACTTCTTTATCAACAAACACAATGCCTAAGGATAGCAAGTTGTATGATCTGTTGGGTGTATGGATTCGTCCCCCTTAATGTGATGAGAGAACAATGCTTAACCTAGGTTCCTATAGGTTTCACCAACTGCGACGGAGGCAGAACTTAAGAAAGCATACAAAGTCGGGGCTTTGAAACATCATCCAGGTTAGTCTCTTCTCCAGGTCATCCCCTCAATCCCTTCTTGTCACAGTACATAAATCTGACGGTCAAAACCGATAGATAAGAACCAGCACAACCCTGACGCGGAGGAAAAGTTCAAGGAGATCTCCCGTGCATACGAAATTCTTTCCGATCCCCAGAAGCGCCAAATCTATGACCAATATGGCGAAGAAGGATTGGAGGGTGGTGGTGGAGCAGGTGGAATGAACGCCGAGGACTTGTTCTCGCAATTCTTTGGCGGTGGTGGTTTTGGTGGTGGTGGTGGTTTTGGTGGTATGTTTGGTGGTGGTGGTATGCAACAACGTGGCCCACCAAAGGCTCGTACCATTCATCACGTTCACAAAGTTTCGCTCGAGGATATCTACCGCGGAAAAGTCTCCAAACTCGCCCTCCAGAAATCCGTCATCTGCCCCAAGTGTGATGGACGTGGTGGAAAGGAAGGTGCTGTTAAGAAGTGCGCTGGATGCGACGGTCATGGTATGAAGACAATGATGCGCCAAATGGGTCCCATGATCCAGCGTTTCCAGACTGTCTGCCCTGATTGTAACGGAGAGGGAGAGATAATTCGCGAAAAGGATAAGTGCAAGGGTTGCAATGGTAAAAAAACTACCGTCGAAAGAAAGGTGCTGCACGTTCATGTCGACAGAGGTGTTCGTAGCGGACATAAGATTGAATTCAGAGGCGAGGGTGACCAGACACCAGGTGTTGAACCAGGCGATGTTGTTTTCGAGATCGAGCAAAAGCCCCACGACCGATTCCAACGCAAAGATGACGACTTATTTTACCATGCCGAGGTGGATCTCGCTACTGCACTCGCTGGTGGAACAATCTTTGTCGAACATTTGGATGAGCGGTGGTTAAGTGTTGAAATTCTTCCAGGAGAAGTTATTAGCCCAGGTAAGCGATTTATTCCCCCATGGCGACACGTTGAAGATTCTCTAACAACCCCTACAGGAAGTGTCAAGATGGTCCGTGGCCAAGGTATGCCTTCATATCGTCATCACGATCACGGGAACATGTATATCCAATTCGATGTCAAATTCCCCGAGAAGAACTGGACCGCCGATCCTGCAGCGTTCGAGGCCCTCAAGACCATTCTTCCACCGGCAGCAGCAGGCATTACACCGCCTGCCGATGCGATGACCGAAGTTGCCGATCTCGAAGATGTCGATGCCAACCAACAAGCTAGAGCGCAAGGCGCGGGTGCCATGGATGAAGATGACGAAGATGGCCCCGGGGGTGAACGTGTCCAATGTGCTTCTCAGTAATTTATAGTAGTATTGGCGTTTGGCCTGGGGTTATTCTTCATACTTTCTTCATACAGAGATTTTTTCTATCAACCTCTTTTGCATCCTCCGTCGGTTATATGATACGCTATGCTCGTTCTTCATGATTCCCAAGTGCGTTATTTTCACGGCCGATAATCGAGACAAGGGCCTTCTCTTGATTCTTTTTGTCGTGATAGAATGTCCATGACGCCAACATACACGAATGACGAAATGAGCAACGAGCGAGTAGGTTAGGTTTGAGGGTGAATATGATAGATGGATGAAAGCGAGGAAGGAAGGAGTCGAAAGGAGTGAAAGGAAAACCTTTGGACAATTTATGTGGGTGATGTGGTGGACGGTGTAGAATTTTCTTTTGCAAACATTGAGAATCATATATTATGAAATGGATGGAACATCTTTTTCATAGGATTCCAAGGATTTTCATGAGGAGATCAGATAGATAAATCCGAGAATTTAAACCTGGTTAAAGATCAGATCTCTTAATATGGACAGAGCGTTTAGACAGTGTCTGGGATAGATAGCATGTGAGATGAGGGGAAAATGAGATTTATGAATGTTCCTGTTTTGAGTGTGCATGTGCTTGTGCTGTGTTGAATTGTGCTGGTGGTGGAAGGAATTCTTATATAGACCTATCTGACTGTGTGAACAGCCTGATGGGCTCTCCTTTTGGATCTGTCTTGCTTAGATCGAATACTTCTATACTCATAGTCATAACATAAAACATATTTTCTGAGGTACTCTGTAGCTGCGAACGAAGAGGAATCCACGCCACGGTTGGTGGTTAATGTCCCGAGGCATTTATTTACTCCCACTAGTAAATACACATATAATTCATGTCTTGTGCCGAGCAATTGAATATAGCTCGGTCAATTATATCCATTGAAACGAGCTACCAACTACGTACTGGTATCAGTATTGTTATTGTTACAAACATCCATCATCTAACAAGTTCTCATGCTTATGTTCATGTTTTTTCTTCCTCTTCTTCTTCTTTTCTCATATCCATCCATCCATCCATCCATTCATGAATAACTAAATTACTCTCCCTCGTACCAGGTACCGGTACCCCTACAATGCCCTCAAAGTAAACACAGTAACGCCTTTTAAAAATATCTCCCGAAAGAGCCCATACATATATATGCATGTTGTCACTCGCATTCCCTCCGACTCTCAATCATCATCTTGAAAAGCTCTAACCTTAACCCCGGCTTTATTGACGGCCATCCTCAATTTATCCCTCGCTTCCCTCTTCCTCCTAGCCACCTCGCTCAACTCCGATTTCTCTTCTGAAGTGTATCCACTAATCTTTTTTCTCGGACTAGGAGTTCCATAAATCGAGCCCGAATTACTCATCCCAAAAGACGAGTTTCCTAGTCTCCCTGACGCCGATCCTTTCAATTGATCAGGGGTATAGAAAACTCTATTTGTGCTTGAAGTCCCTGGTGTATTTCCCCTCATACTTATTCTATTTGTATTCTTCTGAGGCGTTCTTAGGGCTGGCGAGGATTCTCGACTTGTGGTGTTGAATCTCAGTTTGCGCATGCTGTTTTCAAGGACATCGACGTCGCCACTACGTTTTTCCGCCATGGACGTCATCTTGGTGATTGTACGCATAATAGCTTCGACTGTGGGGGCAGCGTTTTTTGTATTGCTATTGGAATTTTGAGATACGATCTTAGCCCTGAGAACAGTGAGACCTTCTTCAGCTTCTGAGAGTAGTTTCTGAAACTTCAAATAATCGCGGCGTAGATCATTTTGCTGTGCAGCTTGCTCGGCATTGAGTGGTTGTGCTCTAGCGATCGCTATTTGATCAGGGTGTGTGTGTGACTGCACAGTCCTTTTTACTTCTTCGAATCTTTGTCGTAGCTTGATAGTCTCCTTCCCAAGAATTTCACAAGTTTCGATTTTTTCGTCCACGTCCTGAATTCGACCCGTTTCGAGTTCGCGTGTTAGCTCTCTTTCTACGATATATGAAATCGCTTCTATCTCATCCAAACACCAGGTCTCATCTTCTTCGAGGTCTTTTCTGGTTCTATCTTTGTACTGCTCGGTGTGTCCCTTGACGAAGGACTTTAGAGCCTTCGCATTGACACCGAGAGTATCGATCATGGAGTTTATATCACGGTATAAAATCTCTACCTGAGCAGGAATGTTGTCGCCTGTTTCAGGTGACTTTACATCCGAATAAGCGACAAATTCATCCAGCGTTCTTGTGGCTTCAATATCCTCTGTGAGATATCTCTGCATCCTGTCATCTTCGTCATCAACGAGCGTTCTGGTCTCTTCGGCTTCTTTCCTTGCTTTAGCCTCAATACGGCGCTGTTCTCGTGCATTTTCTTGTTCAACAGATGTCACGAAAGAGCTTTGCGAGGGTGCAGTTCTTCCCGATGGCTTCTGGGCATTTAATAACTGTGATGCGAATCCCGGTGCACTAGCAGATCTCGACGGATCGGGGCGCATCATTCTAGGCGGAACTGCTGATCTTACAGGACTGGGCGATCGTGGCGATGAAGGAATCACGGGGCCTGTTGGTGGTGGAAGTTTGGGTGCAGTACTAATTTCCCCGAAAAGTCCCTTCGATTGCCCAAACGTGGATGGCTTCTGTACTTTTGCAAAAGGACTGATGTCTGCATTGGCTTTCTGATTCCCGCCAAAAGAACTTTGAGGCGTTAAACCTGGTGTGACGTTATTTTCTGATGTTGGGCTATCCAGCTTTCCGAGGTCTTCCCCACTTCCCTCCTCACTCGGTTCTTTGCTTTGCTCATCATCTTCATCTTCTGTAAGGAAGTCAGAATCATCGCCTTCATCATCCGGACCTCCAGGAACATCCTCTTTGGGAGATTTAGGTGGGGGAGGTTGATCCTGCGTTTGAGCGTCCTTTTTGACAGGGGGTGGTATTTGAGTTTGAGTGGGCTTGGGCTTCAGCACGAAATCTGGTGGTAAGGGTGCATCATTATTTTTTCCAGAGGCAGGAACTTCTTTGGTAACCGACTTAGGTTTAGGTGTGAAGTCCAGAGGCAATGGCGCATCATTTTCAGAGGCGGATGTTTCACCAGCAGTATAGCTAGATTTACTTGTTGGATCTGGAGGCAAAGGAGCCTCAGGCACTCCATCGCTTGGTTCCTGCTTGATATCCAGTGGCGGAGAAGGGGCTGGTGCTGTTTTAGCAGGTATAGATGCTGCAAATGGATTTACTGCGGGTCTAGCTGGGGCTGCAAAAGGGTTTGGGGCTAATTTTGCTTCAGCGCTTCCGAAGGGGTTTGGTTTTGTGGAGCCAGAGGCAGAGCCAAAAAGTCGTCCACCAGTAGCAGGTGCTGTACTGAAGAATGAAGACCTTGCCGGCGCGGGAGTTGAACTGGGCGTCGCAGATTGAGGTTTCGCCTGTTCCTCTGGCTCTGGAGCATCCATATCCGCTTCCTCGGACACGGGGGCCTGTACAGTAGGGGCGTTCTCTGCTTCCTTCAAAGCGTTACCAAAGGCTCCACCTCCAAAGAACGAACTCTTTGTTACAGTCGTATTATCCGGCTCGCTCTCCTTGGAAGTATCCGCCTTAAATGTGGAACCGATGACAAATTTATCTGCACCAAAAGGACTTGAAGAAGGCTGTTGCTCGGCTTTATTGGCCCCTCCAAAGAGACTGCCAGATTGTGCAACATTGCCAGTGTTGCTAGAACCGAAAATGCCGCCACCTGTATTCGAGGCATTATTGTTGGAACCAAATATGCTTCCCCCTGTTGCCGGGGCAGCGGCAGCTGCGAAGCCACCTTGATTCGCAAAAGTGGCAAATCCTCCAGCAGTCGGAGGCTTACTTCCAGTAGAAGCACTTGAGCCAAAGACAGGTTGCGATGCACCTAAAGCGCTGGATTGACTAAAAGCTGTGCCCGTACTTGCCGTGGTGGTGTTTGCTGAGCCCCATACTGATTGCCGCCCTGGCAAGCCTGATTGCCCAAATGCTGGAGCTGATGGTGTACCGAAGGCTGGTGCGCCAAAAGCCGGGCCTGGCTGCGCTGCAGGAGGTGCCATTGACGGCGTACCAAAACTTGGGGTTCCAAATCCTTGAACACCTGGGGCACCCCATGGTGACTGTGTCTTACCTATAGCAGCGGGAGTTCCAAAAGCACCTGTCCCAGAAGCGGCCGCTGGTTTCGCCATTGCACCACCAAAGGCCGAAGTCGTAGAAGCTTGACCCCCAAATGGTTGATTTGACGTACTGCCAAGAGCAGGTGCAACAGTGGTAGGCTGCTGCGCAGGCGTCACTCCCTCGGCAGCAACTAGACCTGGGTATATGGTTTTCTGTCGAACCGAGTCGTTATAAATGATCCACCATGAAGCCAAGACACCTTCATTGTTCAGAACCATAAGAGCAGGAGCGGGGTGAGGCGACTCATCAATCTCGTCGTCCCCGGGTATGGGTTTCCAGATCCTGGTGTTGCTTGATAGATCAAGCGCAAAACCAATCGGAGATGTGTCCCCAAAACCCCCGCTTGATGTTGCAGGAAGCTGAGCTCTAAAAGAGTCATCAGCCATTTCTGTCATCGTGAATACCCCTGTTATTCTGTCCGATGGTTTATCACTCGTCAACGGTACACTACATCTGGTAAATAGATTGATGTCTGTCGATGCTGTCGAGCCTACGATGAGTAAATCCTGTATATTTGGCGGGAAATCTTTCAAGCGAAGCAAAAAATGATGCGGTGGTGAACGATTGAGACCAAAGGGTGGAGTAGGATCAGTAAGTTTCTGAAACATAAAAATCGCTGGCTGTTGCCTCGTAGCCAGATGAAATTTGGATTCTGGAGCATTGCTAGGATCGAAATTCGATGGTGTATGCACCAACAAAAATACGTTATTTTCAAGCCAAGTGATGGACGATACTTAGGCCTGTTAGTTATTTCCTGTGGTCTGAGAATTGAAGGAGGACTTACCATGATCTCCGTCATTTAATCCAGGCGGCTTTGCAATTTCCGCTTTGATTTCCCCTTCTGGCGTCATCTGAACAGCACTACCATCGCCAAGGCCAGCAACTAATTGTTTCCCTTTAGTGGACCACGATACACAGCTAACACCACTTCTGAGAACTTGACCATTGGGACCTGACTTGAAAGCGCGGTCCTTAAGATTCGCCATCATAAGGTTTCCGTCCACAGTCACAACTGCAAGGAGCTCGCCTTTATCACTGGTAGGATTTGGCACGAGAGCCCTCAAAGACTCGCCATTTGTAGGTATCTCGAAGGCTGTTTGTGTAGATCCTTTAAGTAAGGCGTCAACTTCGTAAACTGCCAGCCCACCACCTGATTCCGCAGATAGGACCAAATATGCATCGTCCGCTGAAAAGGCAAGCTGCGATACTCTCATGGGCATGGGAATTCTAAGTTCCGGCTGGAAAGATTTAAAATTTCCAATACCCGATTCTTCAAATGCCTTTTCTACAGACGCAGTTCTTGCGACAACTATAGCATCTGGACCGGCAGCTGCGAGCAATCCGCGACGTGAAGATATGCTCAATAGCGAAGATGTTGGAGGAGGAAGATTTTCGGTCGGCCATGCTGAAGGAAGCAATTGCAACTTAGATTCGCCCGCAAAAGCGTGAAAGTGAAGGGCCTAAATCTTATTAGCTACCGCAATGATCATGCCCATTTGCCAGAATAATGTATATACCGTCGTTTGTATGTCTTCGAGCTCAGGACCCAATTGCGCACTGCGACCTGTCGCACCTCCAGCGGAGCCACCACCAAGACTACCAGTTCCCGGATTGCCAAAGCTGAATGCCATGATCTCCAAAGATGCCCCAGAATCCTAAGTAGACTGGCAGTTCATTACAGAGCTCGGCGCATGGAGTGAGAATGCGAATAGTTCCGGAAAAGGAAAATAAGAGGTAGATCTAAATCCAGATGAATAACGACAATGAGAAGTTGGCTCCCGGAGCTGTATTGAATGTCCAAGTTTTGAAAATTTGTGGTGATAAAAGAGATGAATTAAAAGCCAAATGGTTTACAGCTTTCCACTTCAAATAATATCAGACCTTCATTCGCTCTGCGCTCGCGTTTTTGTACATCACGTGTTAAATCGCGAAAGCATAAGCTTAAGCTTCCAGGCGCCCAAGATCCTCGTCAGCGACAAGTAACCTGGGATTATCAACCGTCCCCGTTTGGAGCTCAGCAAAACAACCATTTCAACACATTTACGAATCCCTTCAAATCCCCGCGAATTACTACTTTGGTTTTATTTATTTGATACCCAAATTTTACTTAGAAATCTGCTCACCGAGCTTTGTTTGAAACAATGCCTGGTTTCGACTTCTCCAACCATACTCGCAATGCTGCGTTACACGCCAGAGGTGTCCCATTGCCAAAAGCTACAAGCACAGGAACTACAATTGTAGGATGTATCTTTGAAGGAGGTGTAGTTGTAAGTTGCATTACCATTCTGCGATTTCGAAGCAATTTAAATAGTCCCTCTATTTCGTTTCGGACTTCGATGTGAACTATCATGCTAATCGAACCCTTGTCCAGATCGCAGCAGATACCAGAGCTACCAGCGGACCCATAGTAGCAGATAAGGTACGATCAGTGTAATACGTGGACGTTGATTTAATGCTCATTGCTATTAGAATTGCGAGAAACTTCATTACATTGCTCCTCAAATCTGGTGTGCCGGTGCAGGTACAGCTGCTGATACCGAATTCACAACCGCCCTCATCTCTTCACAACTCGAGCTCCACTCGTTATCGACAGGTCGCAAACCTCGAGTCGTTACCTGCATGACCATGCTTAAACAACACTTGTTCAGATACCAGGGACACATTGGGGCATATCTTGTAGTGGCAGGTGTTGACCCCACCGGTGTTGGATTGTTTACGGTACATGCGCACGGAAGTACGGACAAGCTGCCATATGTTACTATGGGAAGTGGTTCACTCGCTGCGATGTCTGTTTTTGAGACGCAATGGAAATCTAAGATGACAGAGGATGAGGCTGTTGAGTTGGCATCAAATGCTATTCAAGCTGGTATCTTTAACGATTTGGGTTCAGGTTCGAATGTAGATGTGGCAATCATCACAAAGGATAAGACAACATTGAAGAGAGGTTTCGTTAAGCCGAATGAGAGAAGTAAGAAGCAAAAGAGTTATGTCTTCCCTAGAGGAACTACGGCTGTTCTCAACGAGAAGATCATTACAAGGGAGGAGATTAGCAAGTATGTCACGGTACATGAGATTGAAGGTGAGGCTGCGCTAGGGGAGAAAATGGATATAGATGCTTGAGGATTGAAGAGTGTCTAAGATGAGATTTCTACTTGTATCAAAAGACCGAATTCAAGGCAAGGCGCATCAGAAATATCATATAGCTGAGGAAAATGCGTTTACGTTTCTAATGAGATATATGATGGAAGCAAAAACAACATCGTTTCAGCCCGGTTTTTGATTGATATGGATAGCACCAATTGAAATTCAAGGTGACAATGTGCTTCTCCCATTCTAAGTAGATAGGTCAAATATAGAGCGTAACCGCTATCTACTAGCGCTTCCATACCCCGAATCTTCCAACGTACGCCAATGTCGAATTTCATCCTCCAAGAAGTTTAGAGTGTGGACACAACCACTCGACTGCTGGTTGGTTTGAAGTAGAGATAAAATACAGCGAACGTTTAGTGTCTGGGCCTGAATAGATATCCGAGTCACGGTTCCGAAATCATGAATCACTTCAGCAAGCCAAACACGGACATTATTACCTTAATCTATCTGATTTAATCAACCAAAGCAGGCCCCGACCCGATAGCTCATACACAACTATTTATTCTCCCACATTTCCCTCGTCAAGGCTCCATGCCACCAGCAGCCGACGACCTCAAATATTGCAAAATAATCTCACATCAGCAGTGCCGGCGCCACGAATTCGAAGAAGGATTGTATGATTAAATCTTTTTTTGATGTCGACCGACGAAAGCTCAACTATAATAAATCGCAACCATGTGGTAGTTGCATGAATTTCGCTGGAGAGAGATTGTTTCGCATCTGCACTCGATCAGGCGAGCCAACTCAAGCTTACCGAGATTAAGGAGAGGGTTAGCTCTCCCATCGTCGGCTCGATCGTCTGCAGAAGAACATTATGATAACATCCGGGACTTCAGTCTATGAAAGGTGAAATACCCTTGGAGACAATACCAGCGATTCGACTGATATTCAGGGACGGGCATGAAGGTGCGTTTCAACGAAATCACACAGCATTTCTTCTCATGGAAAGGTAAGAACTCACATGTCCATTCTTAAAGAAAGAAGGCAGATCAAATCTGGTCTTGCCTCAACTACGTCTTCGAGTGTGACCATTTCCAACCGCGAGTTACCAATGCAAGAAAGGTTCTTTCCGAATTATTACAGAAGACGGCTGTATATCAAAGTATGAGTGGCATGCGACCATCAATGCATATGGCTATGAATAAACTCCTTGGTCAACACCGTGTTAGACAGCTAAATAGCAACATTCAATTTCCGTACAAGTATATTTCGCGCGGAATACTAGTAGTAGCTACACACTTACATTTCATATCGTAATATGGTAGACAATGTTTTCTTATCGGATGTCTAATTCTCGGCCTTGTCCATAATTCAGTTCAGCCTTAAAGAGGGGAATTATTGCCCCACGTCCCTTCCTAACAACACAACCAACCCCAGCAAATCTGGGAATTCGCCATATCTATACAAGAAGCACGCAATTGACCACCCAGAGTAGATCTACGGATGCAGCCAAACCGAAACTTGCCGTGATTGCATTGAAAGATTGAGTGACAAATGTAGTACGCAATATTCAGATATGAGGTAAAATAAATAACGATAAGTAGACATCGTCCCCCGCTCATCTTCCTCTCTATCATTCAACCTTAGTCCTCCATTTTCGATCCTTTGGAATACCTTCACTTGTTATTTCTTTACCTCATTGCGTTTCAGAGATTGTAAAAATGGCTCCTTCACTTCTTGATACCCAACCTACAGCACCCCACCAACTTTCCTCTCCATCCCAAAGAACCGTCGATCGTAAAGTCTTCCCAGATGGTATCAAAACCTCGGGCCAACATCCACCTTTATATGATCAATTGAGACCATACTCTGATTTCCCTAAAGAAATCACCGGAGAAACAGTTTGGAAAGCAGAAGATTATATTAATAACCCAGAAAGATGGGTTCATGTCTTCAACGAGGAAGAAATTGCTGAATTGAGCAATGTGGCGGATAAGTTTATTCAGGATAAGATTCCTCTGACCGGTATTTCTCAGGTACGTGGTTGGTGTCACATTACCATGCTGGATGATAGCTAGCTATCCGAGCACGAATTGTGAACTTCTCGACTAATTCAACACAGGATACTTTCCGTCTCTCAAACCTCTCTACTTTACTGGCATCCATCCGAACGGAAATCTTAAACGGGAAAGGTTTTATCCTCTTCAAAGGATTTCCCGTCGAGGAGTGGGGAAACCATAAATCTGCCGTTGCATATATGGGATTGGGAACATACCTTGGATATTTCGTCAGTCAAAATGGTCGAGGCCACGTTCTTGGGCATGTTAAGGATCTAGGCGAAGATTCAACTCAGATTGATAAAGTTAGAATTTATAGAACAAATGCTCGGTTAGTCCATATTTCATTCAAGGGCTATAATCAAAGACTAATGATGCCAGACAATTCTTCCACGCTGATGACTCTGATATCGTTGGCCTTCTCTGCATTGCACGAGCACTTGAAGGCGGAGAATCTGATATCGTTTCTTCGCATCACGTCTGGAACACTTTACAAAAAGAACGTCCTGATGTGGCAGAAACACTTACCAAACCTATCTGGTATTTCGACCGAAAGGGCGAAGTTAGTGTTGATGAAGAACCATACATCAAGACCTCCATCTTCTACCTCGAAACCGGCGCTAATGGTCGTGTATACTCGAAATGGGATCCATATTACGTGAAATCTTTGAGTCGATTCTCAGACGCTGGAGTCATCCCACCATTATCACCCGAACAAGTTGAAGCTGCTAAAGTTTTGGAAGAAACTTGTCATCAATTGAGATTACATATGATACTTGAGATTGGCGATATTCAATTCTTAAGTAATGAGCATGTACTCCATGCTCGCACAGAATACAAGGATCATGCACCACCAGCACCGAGAAGACATTTGATGAGGTTGTGGTTGGCAACGCCGGAGAGTGAGGGGGGATGGAAATTACCGTTTCATGATTCGAAGGAGAAGAAGAGAGGTGGTATTCAAGTTAACGATCAGGCTCCTGTTGCACCACTAGATGCTGAATAGATTTTGGAGATATCAATGTTATTATAGGTAGGATAATTTCGTCGATGACAAAAATAAATTCTCGAATATATCAACTTCCATGTTTCCCTATTGCCTTCGTAAATTGACGTTTGATGTTCGGCTTTATTTGAAATAACGAAGCTTGAATCCTCAAACTCGTGTTGAGTCATCGTACATTGAAGAATGCGTGCATAAAGCAAACCACAGTCCCTGAAACTGAGGCTTCCGTGACATACTTCAAGTTGTCCGTTATCCTTCCGTCGTCATGCTCAGTGTCCTCACATAACAGCACAAAGCTTGATATCATCCCTCCGTGCAATCCTCTTCTCTTTCACTGCCTTCTTCCTCGGTTCTGGCATTATATCAGGCGGTCCGAACCACTATTCAATGCACATCGTTAGCTTCAACCATCTCCCATTCCACTATGTCTGGCCATCATCTCCCCTCATTTCTCTTTCCGTCTCGCATCCCCAACCCCTCTTCTCACACATCCCAAAACCCGACCCTTAACAACGAAAGGAAAAAAGCAACTCACCGAGCCCCCCGTCCTACACTCCACAACCATCTTAACCATATTCCTATCATAGAAACCCTTCCAATCATGCATCGGACACATATATCTCACCACTCGTATAACATTTGGACCATTAATTCTTAGAGCGTTGGAGGCGAAAATGGGGCAGGTCAGGAGACCTCTGCCCCAGCCGCAGGGTTGTGCGATTTGTATCCATTGGCAGGGTTGGTTTTTGAGAGTGTTTTTCCTTTTGGGTGAGAGATGGGAATGGGAATGGGAATGGGAGTGGTGGTGGTGGCAGGTGGACGATTGGTGAAAGGTGTATTTGCACATTTTAGGATGTAGAATGGTGGATAGAAGGTTTCTATCTGATCTGTAATTTGCGGGGTTTTATGATGGAGTAGGAAGTTCTCATGTATTTTCGTCCTCATAAACGCAAACTGGAAGGAGATGAGTTTTAAATGTGTGTTCTTGTAGGAGACATGAAGATGTGCAGTGAATTGCTGGACTGCCTCCCAAAAGAAAGCACAATTCTCTTTCACACTACCATGATTCACATAGAGGGAAACAAAACGTGACTACTGAAAGTAGTCCTAATAATCCCATCACACTTCTCAGGTGAGAACCATAATGTACCTATGTATGTGTATACATGTCCCATACAATCATGAAGAAGAAACACTAGCTCCCGATCTACCAATCTTCCTTCCTGAACTCCGCCTCCCATTTATAAATGTACATATATATAGTACAAGACGAACCATTTATATTCACAACTGTTCAGGCCCCGAATCCTCTTCATTTTCCTCTGCTTGCTTCTTCCGTATTGCTTGCATGAGCTCATACAATTGTCCCAATTGCTGGTCTAAGTACGGCATTAGTATTCTCCTTCTCCAATTACAAGCGGCTTGAGTATATACCACTCATCTTATCAATCTTTTCCTTATCCATACGTTCCCCGATCCAACTTCTTCCCTCAAGTTTCTGTGCATACATCTGCCATTCCGTTAAGAAGCCAATCTATCCCTCAATTAGCCCTTTATTCCCACTTCAACCAATCCACAAAACTCACAATATGCACCGGATTCTCCACATCTCTATGCTGTCTAAACTCATTCTTAATATACTCATCCCCGATTAACCTCATCTCCCGAGGTAAATGTTTTCTATGCGCCCTAAATAATCTTCTATACAGTGGAATGGGAGGTAATAAAGCCAGAGGAGCGGCTCTAAATCCCGATCCCGTACCTGCCGCCGAAGCTGATGCAAATAATAAACGTGGAGAGACCTTCATTTTGTAGCGCGTGGTTCTTAATTGTGAAATCTAGGGGGAGAGACGTGAGAACTGGTGAAGTCATCGATCGATCGGCATTTCCCCGCCAAAATTCGTTTCTCAGCCTTGTCTCATTTTCTACCTGCACACCTAAAGGTTTTGTTGCATATCTGAGACAATTTTCAGACCTGGAAAATTGAAGAAAATTTGAAATTTTATTACATATTTAGAAAGAGGAATCTTCTGCGATCTTTAAAAAAAATTATCCCGGGATTTTGGAAGAGGAACTGTTGAACCAGAGCACGGCGCGTTTTGAGCCTTCCGCAAGCTTCAATTGTATACTTTCCAGCTACAGCCTTCTCTCATTCACTTGTACGCATTTTTGCGATAACGAGCTGGAAATGCTTCCAACTCCTGATACCTCACATGTATCTTTCGATCGAATTTACGAACCTGCCGAGGATTCCTTCCTGCTTCTCGATGCCTTATCCTCTGCCAGTGAAAAGAAGTTCCTACAGCAACGATTTCCTCAAAATGAGCAACCTTCAATATCGCCGTCTCCATTTGTGGTAGAGATTGGCACTGGGTCTGGAGTAGTTCTCTCCTTCGTCCACGCCCATGCGAGGATCATATTTGGCAGGGCGGATATCCTTACAGCAGGCGTGGATGTAAATCGCTATGCATGCCAGGCTACGCAGGAAACAGTGAAGGTAGCGGAGAGGGAACAGAATTCACAGGGTTTATCACACGGTTCATATTTAGGAAATGTGGTGGGGAATTTGGGGACTTGTCTAAAACCTGGAATGGTAGACGTACTAATCTTTAATCCGCCATATGTGCCAAGTCCGGATGTGCCTATACCAGAGCTGTCTGGAGCAGGAAATGAGGATGGGACACTAACATATGAAGGGGACTCGAAATTACTGGCTTTATCCTATGCAGGTGGGGTGGATGGTATGGAAATCACAGATCGGTTAATCGATACGTTGCCTGAGGTCCTGAATAAGGAGAGAGGTTGTGCCTATATCTTGCTTTGTGCGCAAAATAAACCTGAGGACGTCAAACAACGTATACGTGGTTTTGGAGATGAGTGGAAAGCAGAAACTGTAAGCAATAGTGGAAGGGTTGGGGGATGGGAAAAATTGCAAATTGTTAGGATTTGGCGCATGCCACCTAATGCTTCCTAAAGTCAACATAACCACACTGTAGCATCGTGATGTATTGAAGGTAAAGTCCATGTATACGTGTGTTTCAAAGCCGACAAGGCGTCCCCTTGTTCGTTCGTAATTGATCGATATAGCTGCTTTTCATATGCCACTCAAAACGCCAATATTCCCACAAGCTGAGCATGCATGACACCCTCCTTCCCTTGGTCCATCTCCCATCTGTATAGCCAAGTAGAGCGAACATTCTCAATGTGATCCTCTCCTCCAATTTCTTTCTTGTCGCCGTCACTGGTATAATGATCATCGAATCTCGCAACCAACCATTCTACGCAATCCTTAGAATCCTCTTCCACCCCCTCGTCCCCTACCTCCTCTGAATCCACCACCACCACCACCACCCCCTCTACCTCTTCCTCCACCTCGTCCTCCTCGAGGTCCTCCTCTACCACCTCTATCGGCAGCACCTGTAGCTTCCTTTCTCGCCTTGTTCTTTGGCTTTGGTGCGTCGTCTATCAACAATGTATCGAGGGGTAACGAATCAGGCAGAATGTAGTAACGGATTGTGGAACCTCGGAGGTTGATGGTATCAAGGGAGAGAGATGCGCCATTCTTAGGTGTCATCTTGACCGTACGGAGAGCGGTATTCATTTGTGGAGAGACAGAAGTTATGGTACCGTGAATGATTGTGCCTGGTATAGTTGTTAATGGACCCGTTGATTAAGAGTCAGGCTAGTAAGAGAGAAGTAGAGAATTTGTATACCATTTTTGAGCTCGATCGTGACAGTTTCGTTCGCACACTTCATGAGAAACCTACCATGGAAAGAGAAAGTCAGTCAGGAGATTCAGATGGGAGCCTTGAGAAAGAATTTGAGCTCAGCGCATGCCAATTAAAGGCCTTTTGGTGATGGGAAAAGCTTACCTGACGAGCTTCATGATGCCGGTTAGATTGTTGATGTAAATTGGTTTCGGAGGTTCGATGTGGTGGTTGATAGTGGATCGTGAGACCAATTGATTGCGCCTATACACAAATAAAGTATTTGAAGCTTTTATCGCGAGGTAGAAATCGCGTTCTGCGCTTGGTGCCTAAGGCCACACAATTCACTCACGTCAAGCTGCAGGTGATATTGGCGATGGAGCTCGAAGTTCAAGGGACATGAACGAAAAAGGATATTTCTGATTTGTAGAAAGTTCAAAAATACAATTCATTGTTGTATCCCTTGGGTATCCATAGTCCATAATTTCTTGTATAAGTTTCAAAATTTGTACTTGCATGGTACACCAAAATTCATGATCATCTAAACGGTCGGGTATTTCCTCGAGCTCCCTTCCTCTCACAAGAATGCTTCCTACCATCAATTCCAACAATTCGCCTCTGCGGTGTTTATTTATCCTTTTCATTCTCACTGACCTTCTCCCACTCATCCTCCGTACTAGGTTCACTCTTGTTACCGCCTCCAATAGAACGCGATCTACTTTTCAAATCCCCTTTCACTTCCAATACCTCAACCTCCTTGCTCCCTGGTGGGCCCTCGTCATCAACAATAGTCTCTACGTCCGTATCACTGCCATCTCCTCCAGCTATCCCTTCCGTCTTCTTCCGTGCCTCTTCTTCCTCTTTCACTCTCTTCAGCTCCGCTGCGAACCAGTTTATAGCCCACCATAATCCACCACACAGGAACGATAAAACCACAAAATGAATGCTGTAGGTAGCGACCAACAGGAGGAAGAATACGAGCTGTAAAGCTGCGAAAGTGGCGTTGGTCGCAACGAGGAGAACAGGAGTGGGACCGGGTGTGAAGATAGATTCCCAGAGAGAAACGAGGAATTCTGATGCCATGGCTGCTTTTCTATTTCTTCTGCTGTTTTCACTCCTTTGACGTAGCAGTAGCTTTCGGAACTCGTAGTAGATAATAAATTAATTCGAGAGGTCTTTTGTTTGAGGTGGGATATATGTTGCGCAAAAGAGGAGGTGCTCGAGATACTAATAGAAGTGGTCAGGGGAATGGCATTCATGTAGGTATTTATGATACCCCTCACCTTCCTGCTTCAGACGAAATGACGCACACCTCGTACAATTTTGCTGAATATTTCACGACCACGTATCCTAAAGATTTACTGCCTAAGAGTAACTTTGAAAGGACAGATTTATGAACTTTACAAAGTTGAGGTTGATGGAGGGAAAATCAAAATGCAAGATGTACTATTGGGGAGCTTGACAACGCGACGCCCCTCTCTTCTGCCTGTTCTCGGCTTTTTGGGCCACACAACCAGCTCAGACAAAGTAAATGAAAAGATGCCTTGCGATTGAGGTTCCAGTAATAAAAGTCCCGATCTGGGTGTTTCCAATTACATGTTATATATTTTCACACATAAAGTATATAAATTTTTTGAAGTGATTTGCTTTTAGATAATCTTGCATGTATGCATAGATATCACAGGTTGCACAGCACCATTGTAGGTTAACCTTATTAGCCGGCGATGGAAAATCAAGGTAGGCTTACTTCGTATTCTTACTGATCAGTAAGTAATGGGTACTGAATTCACCAGACATGCAATACCAGCATCGTGTGTCTTCTGCCTTCTCCCGCACATGCTTGCGAGTTGTTAAACTCGTCTCCCAGATATACTGGCCACATCGGGGTAGGAGTGAATACACGTGCATCTCATACTTTTCAGAGTCAATGTGGAAAGATGTTCAAGGATGGTATTCGGATTCTCATCACACAATCAATGGAATTTCTGCTGCCCGCACCATGCGGCGTCAAATGCTACACTAATTGACAAAGCCAGCTAGACGATGTAAATCACAAGGGTCGTTCTAACTCTTGGCGCCGAGAAGAAAACCTTCAAACCGTCTGTTCCCACATTTCAACATGGATAACTTCATTCTTCTCGACTTCACCAGTAGACGCAGAACTAACAGATCCTCGGGGCATACAGTTGGAGACGCGTACAGCGTCAAAAATGGTTTTGCTACGGAGAAAGATTTGGTCAACCTCCTCGAGATGACGACCATTGGTTTCCGGAAAGAAAAAGTATACACCTATTACTAGGATTAGCATTGTATGCCCCTGGCGCGCTACTGATCGGATACTCACCTGGAAGTATTAGGAAGAAGTTGATACATGCATATATTATGTAGTATCTCCATCCTATAGTAGTGAATCCTACTGGTGTTATTTCGGCGACAATGAAATTGAAAATCCATGCACTTCCTAAAGCTTTCAATTAGTACAGACGCGTAGAGATGCCCTTTGTGGACATACCTGTTGACATGGCAGTGATAGGTACTCGAACGCTCAGTGGTGCAACCTCCGAGGCATATAGGAAAGTCAGTCCTAGAAATCCAGTGGGGAAAAACAATGAAAACATGAAAATGAACGCTGCAGCGACGGCGACGCATGAAGTATTAGTTATCTGGGAAGAAGTTCCCGCAATAACAGCCATGCAAGATCCCATACCAAAGGCAGCAAACATCATAAGCTTTCTTCTTCCAAATCGGTCTACTGTCAGGACTCCTATCGGGGAACAAAAGGTCTGCCAAGTAAAGACTGAAGCACTTAGAATACGAGCTGTTTGTGCTGATAATCCCAGGCCGGTTTCGAAGATTGTAGCTTGATAGAAAGCGAGAGCATTTATCCCGCTAAGTTGCTGGAACATTTGACCGCATACTGCAAGACATGCTCTGTGGAAAAGACGCTCATTTCCCATGCGGAAAATATCACAAAATGAGCCTTTACCAGTGATCGCAATCCCCTCCTCAATCTCTGCTATATCGGCCTGTACTTGGGCTGAGTCTATGGGCATATCATCCAATGCTGATACAACTTCCCGCGCTTCTTCTATGCGCCCCTTTTTGATCAGCCAACGGGGTGACTCTGGCATATGTGGTGTGGTAATCAGCACGATGACGGACCATGCAATGGAGAGCGCTATTGGAAATCTCCAAGTGACTCCCCCTGTGGAATGAGACATTCCAAAGCTTACCCACTGATTGAGGTCAGTTTCTGTTGCTTCTTTGGCCCATGATGATTGAAAAGTAAAGTGACTGTCGCAAAAAAGAAAAGGGGGTGACCAACTGCAGCCGTTGCTAAGCCTGCACTGATGAATAACCCTTCAAGAAGCACCACACATCCGCGGTGCTGCGCTTTAGAACATTCGGATTGCCAATTTGGAGCGGTTGCTGTTAGAGCACCAAAACCTAAGCCCGAAATAAGACGTCCAACAATTAATTGGCCAAGAGAATAAGATGAAGATTGAAGGATGGCCCCAACCATGTTGATAGCTGCTCCAAGCATGATTGTTCGTTTGCGACCAAGGGTATCACCGATTCTTATACAGGACAAGGCGCCAAGAAAGCATCCGAGAGTATAGAGAGCAACGACAGTTCCCTTTGGAGAGCGTTAACATGTGACCTAAGAGGGCAGAGAATATATGATTCAACTGACCTGCAATCGGGAGTTGCTAGTTCTCTCAATACCTACGACAGTGATAGTATTGAGCCGTGGGAAAGTTTCAATCCAGGCGGGCAGACTAAGTAGTCCACCAGCGACCTACAAAGTTCAGTATTACTACACTCATGTTCCTGTATTATGGAATCTTTGTTGTGCTCAATGGACAATAACAGCACTTACGGCATTGTTATACCCAAATCTATAACGCAGTAATATTAACAATCATTATTTAGATTTTCTCTCCGCAAATACTTACAAGATATAAGCAGGCATGATGACGGCCCAAATCATTGCACGATGCAGTGCCTGACCTCGGAGACCAAAGAATTTTGCCATGTTTCTCGGCAAATGATACGTAATATGAATTAGAATCAAGGGGGCGCAAGTGCAAATAATAATAGTATAGGTAAGTAGAGGGTTAGGTGGGTCGGCAGGTTTTCAATTATTCTTTTGGTTCCGAGGATGATGATGTTTTATATTTCAAGTGTCGGCCCTTCCTAAATGGTCGTCTTATAGTGAGTGATAGCTTTGACTATCGCCCACTTTCAGCAGATAACTTGGCTTTCATATATTGTTGTTTCTAGGAGAGCTACTTAGTGCCGTGCCCCTCGCATGTATATCCAGAAATATAATTTTACATTCATGTATACCATTCTAAATATCTAGTTCGCGGAGAAGTGCTTCTCCTAGTGGTTTATCTCTTATCATAGTCGGGTCATGGAAGACTGCCAGTGGTTCCTTTTGTACGTGTAGCTCAACCCCGCGCCTTCCATTTTGCGGGGTTTTTATTTACAACGGGCTGAACCACACCAGACCCTTCCCTTATCACAAATAAGATATTTGGAGCCCATTAAACCAATGGTGTTGATGCTATTTGAAGTAGTGTTGTCGAAGAATATGCACACCACATGTAAACTGGTATCAAACCATTACCAAGCTTGGAGAGAGCTTACCTAGCCACCGATAATGCGGGGCACTAGTTAGACAACTTCCTTGCATGCCAAACGGAGCTTGAAATAGAGAAACGTCACAAACGACAATGACCCCTAATCTATCTTTGAGCTATACGGAAGTGTTCTTCCGTCTAATGTCAACTAGTGAGAAACGATCTACACGTTTCACCATTCCAGTTCTACTATGAAACCTAACCTCACATCTCGTACCTTATACGATCATGGGGTTAGGGTTTTGTAATAGACTTCCAAATATATCGGATTTCCTCTTCAAGTGATCAAAAGTTTCCTCGTTCTTTCTCATTCTCCGAAGCATCTCCGCCACTGTTATAACAAGATCATATTGAATAGCTACAGCATATGCGGCATCTTGAGCACATGGTCTAAAATGTTCCGATTTACCACCCGATTTTATCCGAGCTGCTGTGCAAAGTTTCTACAACTGGGCCGGATGCGCTATCGGTGGAAGTAACCATTCGGGAACTACTATAGCTGTTAAGTTTCCACCTTTAGCTTCCATGTTTCCACGTACCTAATGGACTAACCTTTATGGAAGTATACTTCCCTATCTCCAATTCTGGTACTTTCCCGGCATCATTGCTTGATCACAAAGGCTCTCGTCGTGTTGGTATACAGCATACGGCTTTACTGGACGGAATAGCATCTCACGTGCATGGTTATGATGATAACACGTCTTGATAAAGTTATTCATCCCATAGCTCCGGTGGCTAGTGCGCTACTTACTGTTGCAGAATGTAAAAGGTGGCTTCTCAGGAAAAGAACTTTTACGCCTTTGATCGTATGTGTCGAAGCGGAATGTAAAGTTGTTTTGGAAGTCCGACCAGAGCGGCACGATGTAAGGTGGCACATTGCATGCACGACAGGTTCCATCGAAGCTGCTGCAGCTGTTGCGAAACAACAAGATGTTTCCGTCGATCAGACAACGCATGCATTGGGGATTGTTGTAACACAAGTTTCTGGCTTGAGAAATGTTTGGGTCCCACACCAATTCCGGTCGTGCAGCTCAAACGGTCTCATAGCAGCGATGTTGGCTCAGGGAGGTTACACGAGAATTGAAAAGCTTTGGAAGCTAAAGGAGGCTGAACAAACATTGTGGGGGTATTATGAAATCAAATATTGGGGGAAGTCCAGCGAAATAATTCGGAACTAGTAATTCGACCGAACAATCCTATTGCTTGCCTACGACGAAGCGAGCTGAGGTGGAAATCTTCAGGGGCTAGCTTCAAGTCATTTTCATGTGGGATTGCGATTCATTCTATTATCGATGCTTGCTCACAACTTCATCCTAACATGGAGGCTACTGATTTTAACACTAAAGGTTTCAAATCCATTCATTCAAGGGCCCATACTCCTGTGCCAGAACTTACTAGAAAGGAAGAGCCTGGAGATAGATTGAATAGTAAATTAGTGTTTGTCATAGAGCTGTTGTCTGTCTGTCTTCTCTGTGGAAGCGAGACTCCAAGCCAATACGAAGACCACAGTAGCTTGGGAGTTGATGAAGCAATAATAATCATCATAAGGGAAAATGGGGAAAATTTCAGAAAGATATAACACATGCAGGCGGAAGTTTGGGGTGCCTTTGGGTAATAGCATGTCGCGGCAGAAGATCGAAGATCATGCGTCGTTGTTCTTTGTGGGTCCGCTAAAAAGGCTATTGCTGCACGTTAGAATATTGAGAATACCAAGGACATTGGGGGTATCGCTAGAATGATCTAAATCATATACCAGAAGAACATTAGAAACGGTTGAATAATGTGAGACATCAAGATAGCTTTTCTACAGCTTGCCAGCATTTCTCCTCGAATCCAAAAGCAAGGTCTCGAAGTCGAACCTAAATTCCAGAGAGTTCTGCAATCAAACAATGAATTAATACCTGAAACATTCTCAGACTATCATTGGATTCTTTGATCACTTTTCACTCAACATAAAATCACTACTTGCGCCAGCTCATCAAAAAACTAGTTTACCATGCACGTCTTCTTACCGGATTGAGATCCTCTCCAAGCATAATGTACAAAACAATACTTCCGTTTCCTCCTCCGGCGCAGAAACAAATAACTCCTTGCCTTCTTCAGCCTAAGCCATCTCATGCTTCAAAATCTACAGTCGTCGCTAACCAAATCTCATCACAGATGAATCCAAACACCAGCCATGATTTATTTATGCATAAGAATTTGCGTGCACATTCTGTGGGGGGATTGGATAATAGTAAAATTATTCTACAAAGAAACAGCTCACGAAGTACAGTGGGAGCAAAAAGCAGAAAATTTCAAGGGAGAATTGAATGTCCAGTTTGAGAAGAATGGGAATTTTGGAGGTACCTAGGATGTTGAAGACGTTTTGTTTTGATGAGCTGCAAGAAAGTTTCGCGAAGGAGTCATTGCTTAATTTTGCGAAGGAGGAGGATGAGATGCTTTGTGTTTGTTGAACTGCGATTGGAGAATGTTGTCTGTGAGCTGGGATATCGTATATTGTTTTGATGTGTGATGACATGGTGGAGGATATCTGGACCATTTTTGATGCAGGAGATTTGTGAGATCTGATGGGAAGTTAAAGAAAGGCGGGGAATGCAGATGAAATTGACGTGTGGATTTAATTTGTTTAAGAGAGAAGAGAGAAGAGAGCACCTCATAATATGCGATAGAATAGTCGTGTATCTTGTTATTTCTGCATCTTCAACTATGAAGACTCAAGAGCACATTGTGTCGAGGGTGCTTTTGATATGTTACTTGATAATAAGTACTTCATTGTATCTTGCGATTAGTTAGTTAGTGTCCAAGCTTGCTAGGCTTGTTGTCCATGTCTATCAATCTTAGTATCCAGCTGTTCAAGTCTCATTTTAGAGTTAAGGGTTATCACCTCACCCTTACACATCAATATATTCAATAATGGCTAAAGAAATTACATTCGTTCGCTGTACCCCCCAAAGAGCACATAGAAATCTTCTTCTATTCCATCTACTACCCGCCCCTTACACATTTCTAGCACTAAATTCTTCCGTTTCTCTTTCTTCACTTCCCACCTCCCTATCACCAAGCGGTCACGCAATATTTTTGTATTTCCTATTCTTACCTCTATTCCATCACGATCAAAACCTTCGTATCAGTCCTCGCTAATCTAGCGACCTCCTGATCATAAATGGACTCATCTAACTGAGCTGTGGGAGTCGAGATGATGAGTCTAAGAGAGAAGAAAGATTGAAAGAGGAGGAGAAAAGAGATGAAGACTAAGAGAAGGGAGACACATACGAGGATGAGTGATAAAAGGAAGATTTCTACGCCGACCACGGATAGAGGGATGTTTCATTATCGATGCCCAAATCAAGTCACACTACGTGTATTGTACATCTATTAATCAATACAGGTTTATACTTGTTACTCAACTCCAGGTCGTGCGCTCTAGATACATCATATTCATACCCCGTAACTAATATACAATAAGAAGGGAGACAGTTGCAGAAACTCGCAATTTCCTGTTCGATAGTTTTGAAAACAGATATATGGAAAGGAGAATGAAAGATTTATTAATTAGAGAGTCATGTATAATTATATATAATCTAATTATATAAATTTATAACGATTTCCTCAAAAGCGGTCTTTTCCTTTTCAAATTATGATAAATGATGTTAAGGTTAATTTAGGTATTGTTTTCGATTTATTCGATGCTTTTTCTTCTTTTATTCCTTTTCTCTCGCTGTCTCTCGCTGTCTTTTCCTTCCTTACCTCCTAACCTCCTTTCCTCCCACCTCTTCCCTCCCTTTCCAATTCACAATTCCTGCGACTTCGAACAAGATGCCCAAGGTTCCCCCTCCCCGCCCCAAAAAATCATTAAAAAAAAACCCACAACAATTCTCATCACCCACAGCTTTATTTCTTCACTTTTTCCACCTATCTCTATATCCCACCACATCCACATCCTATAGAATTCGCCATCCTTCCACAACCCGCCTTTCTTCTTCCCTTCCACTTCCTCCTTCTTTCCTCCCACCATACACCGAATATCCAAACACTCCCATCCATTTCCATGATCATAATTCTCTTTTATTCCAACTCTTATTTCAAGAATTAATATTAATTTTATATTAATTAAAACAAAAACCAAAAAAACCGAAGAAAAAAAAGAAAAAAAGAATAATTTATTTAATAATATAAAATTTTTTAGTATAATTGTTCTATGGGTTTAAAAGTTGTGTATGTTCTAGATTGAAAATATGAAAAACAAAGAGAAGAAATGAATCAAGGAGATTCCTATCTTGAGGCGAGACGAAAAGAAATCCGTATCCGGCCTGCTTCGATTAGGATTACTGAGTCCTTTAGCTATTTAGCTGCTTTTGATATTATCTCGTATTCATCATTACGCTACATCAATACAAACAAACAAACCAACTAACCTATCATCCAAAATAATTCGCAACATCATAAGTCTTACTCCATCATATCAAACATATTCAATATCCCAACAACCTCAACACAACCCCAACCCGAACTTCATTCCTAAACCCTCACCTCACAAAGTTCCGCCCATCTAATCCCATTAATACCCCTCGGGATCCCCAACGCGCTTGCCGTCCAAGCCGCCAATCCCATCTCCGTCATCCACGCCAAAACCGTTTTCATCCAACTTTCTTTCCTTCCCCAAACCACCGTCTCTCCTACCGTTGCAAATCCATTCAGGATAAAAAACATTCCAACTCGGAAAAGTGCTTTTTCTGTTAGCATCGGTGCGAGGCAGTAAACATGAAAAGCGGCCATGAGGAGAAATGCCGCGAGGACACCGGCTGATCTGGCGATCGGGACTGGGACACCTAACTTGGGTAGAGCTTGACGAAGGGGCTTGTAAGCGAGAGATGAGCATGGCGCGGAATATGCATTGTGCCATGTTTTTGACCTGGTGTTGTTAGATTATCTCGAAACGAGATCACAACGTAAGACTTACCAAAAATCCCCCAAACTTTCAACCGCATACAATTTTCCAAAAAGCGCGGGACTACTTTTATATTTTACTAATAATTGGATAGCTGTCCAAGTAATATAAATACTTAACTCCACCTCGAAAGCCAATACCAGCGCCCAATCCTGTGGTAACGTTTGTAAGGCACAGAAAATGGCAATATGGATGGCGAATTGAAGGTATTCGTTAAAAGATTCCTGGGATCGAGAAATCGGAATGAAATTTGGTGCGAAAGATTCATAACGCATTTCTGTTAGGAGAAGAAGTGCATGTTTGTAGGTTGGAGGTTCATTTTTGAGTTGGGGGAGTGAAAGGTGTCGGGTATAGATATCTAGGATTTTGAAGATGCCAGTTCCAACTAAAGAGGATTAGTATGCTTTTTTTCAAGTATATCGTTGGAGATCATGTGTAAATGGGTATACGAACTGGCGAAATTCCTCAAAGCAGCTACAGGCCCACAAGAAATAGGATTCATCCAAGTACTCAAGCAAAACGTGACCAGCGATAACGCTGATAATTTCTTATACGTTCCATATTGTCTCTTGAGTAAAGAATAAATAGAAAAGTAGAGGAGTTCGGTAGGTATTAGAAGAAACGCGGCAGATCTAATGGTCTCGTGACCGAACCTTTCGAATGCCGGAGACATGGTGGTAGAGATTGGGAAATGGAGAGAGGATGTTGCGTTCATTTTGTTGATCATTGGCTTGAGATTTGAGAAAGGATTTTATTCCCTCTTCGGTATTTCCTTTCCAGTATTGCCTCTCAGGAAATAGATATCTATCGTAGCCGAATGAATTATATGTGGTTGTGACAGCGGTTGAGTATCAAAATACTTGAATTCTCGTGATCTTCTTTTCGTGTATCCCTATGCTGAGCCAAGGAATTCAATGTCTCATCCAATCCCGAGATCGAAAATGATATTCTTTTGAATGCGACTTTTCCAAAAATGTGATATGATGCGATATGATATATGGTAATTTGGAATATCAGTCAATGGGATGAAAATATACACCAAAAAAGTTATGATCCTGCAATGCAATGAATGCAGTGAAGATTGTTCATCCAAAGCAAACCTCAGCTCAGCTCAGCGGCCCAAAAGGAAATCGGGTCGGAAGCTGTTGGGATGGGTTTGTGTGTTTGTATGGGTATAGATTCAAGCGGATAAGCTCCGGGAACGGAAGGAAGAAGTAAAAGGGTAAGGGAAGATAGAAGATAGAAGATACTAGTACTAGACAAGTTTGCAATGCAATGTATAATGAATGCAAGCTGTCGAATGAGCAAGACTCTGATACATTTTCCTGCTAGCAACTACATATATACGTAGGTGGTAGGTAGGTAGCTAGCTAGCAAAAGGTAAAAGAAGAAAAGATAAGAATCATCTGACTTTGGTAGGTATTAATAATATAAAACCATCCACCCAGCTCCTACGGTCTTTTCTCTTCGCTCCCTCAAAAGAACATCTCAACCTAAACTAACTCCTAACTCAACACATCGTGATTCGCGCGACCCCGAGTGATGCATGCACTTTGTAAGCAAATAGCAAAATAAATAGATTATTAGAAATTTAGATTTGTTAGACCAGCCGCTCGTTGAGTTTACCGGCATTGATCCGATGATGGGTAGCACGAGTAAACAATCAAATGATTGGTTAAAAAGAAGAGGTTGGGTTAAAAAAATGATCAAGATTGGCGACCCGTCATCATGCCTTTCGGATAAGCGGTTCATGAGAATCATAACCCATGAACCCGATGAAGAGATCAAGAGATCTCGATCTACTCGAGTACTCTGGATGCATTTTGTGCACCGTGCATTGCAAATTCGATCGATATCAAATGATATGAATGCTAACTTATAGATTGACTTATACACAGGCGCAGACATCACACTCCTTGATTGGAATAGCTTCAAAGTTGAGTTCTATATTTCCATCTCGAAATATGAGTACTATTTATTCTACAAAAACACCTAATCATTTATCATCCACTGATCCTTCTTTCTCCCCCTCCCTCTTCTCTCCCTTTGCATTTCCAATCCTCTCGTGCTAAACCAACCCAAATCAAGCCCGAGCTACAAAAATAGAAGCCGCTACAAATACTCCATCTTATGCGTGAATGCCATTGTTACCAAAAAAAAGGACTTTCTTCCATTTCGCTGCAACGCCTTCCTTTTCCTCATGTAAACATTGAACCCCGATCTAGTAAAACACGCGCAATAAATATTTGGTCAATCAATAGATTACAAGGTTTGGCTTTCTTTTTCTTCTCTTTTGTTTTCGCTTCCTTTTTATCATTTCCAAGAGCAGCAATTGATCATCTAGCCCTATGACGATTTCGATGATCCTTGCCCTTCTTGCCCTTCTTCTTGTCTCGGGGCAACTCAATAGGTGCGTTTGCCAATTGAGCAGACATGAATTTCAGCATATAATCGTCTGTCGATCCCACTGGCTGTCCCCAAGCATCAAGTTCGTCTTCATAAATCTCCATTAGGTCTTCGACGGTGGGTGTTCCATCAGCACCAGGAGTTGGTGCACTTTCTGCAGGTGTCCCTGCGCCACCAGGAGTAGCGGAAGCCGAGACTGCATTCTCATCAAAATCGGCGGCGTCGGTTTGCACTATTTCTCGTTCGGCAACTCTAGCTGCGGCGACATCCTCGCGATCTTCGGCTTGAGCAAAAACACGTCGAACATCTTTGTCATTATCAGGTCCACCCAAAACTCGATCCATGGCTGCATTAGCTGCTGCATCTCCGTCCATAAGACTAGGCCCTTCCTCTCCGATGACATCTCGTACGTTCATCTTGTTGAAGTAATCCGTAGTAAACTCTCCTTCTTGAATCACAACATCATCAAGCATACGTTTTTGATTTGCTTTGCGCAAGATATTGGCTTCGATGGTATGCTCCGAGACAAGGCGATAGATGTGAACATCTCGTGTTTGCCCAATGCGATGACAACGATCTTGACATTGCTTGTCCATTGCTGGATTCCAATCCAAATCATAGAAGATAACAGTATCTGCACCCGTTAAATTAATACCCAAACCACCCGAACGACTAGATAAAATGAAAGCCAGAATTCGAGTGTCATTGTTGAAGCGATCCGTAAGAATTTGTCGTTGTTCAATCTTGGTAGCTCCATCAAGTCGTAAATATTTGTGCCCATGAATATTGAGAAATTGCTCAAGAATATCCAGCACCTTTGTCATTTGAGTGAAGATCAGTGCTCGATGCCCGCCAGCTTGCAATTTACGCAATAATTTGTCTAGAGTTTGCAATTTACCGCAGTCATATTGCAAGAGACGCTTGTCGGGGAATTGAATGGATAATCTCATGCGTGCCTCATGGAATGGATCTGTTTTTTGGGTGCCAACGGTGCTCTGAAAGGTGCTCACACCTTTAGGTGTAAATATAACTGAGTTCATATCTCGCGCTACTACAGGCGGTGTCACGCAAGCAAATTTCTGAATTGTTGTATGCAGTTCTTGAGATCGTGATGTGAATGTTGGGACCATTGAACTCATTACCGGGGAAGAATCTTCTAACCATTCTATCAACTTGGTTCGCCGCTTAGGTTTAGCTTGTAGTGGACGCTGGTCAAGACGAAGATCTAGACGTTCAATGAGAGAACTGCCGTAGATAGGTTTCTGTTGTCGTCGAAGGGCATTGAGATATACGCAATGCTGAAGTTCTTCAAATCGTCCCCACCTGGAAGCACTTTCCAGATACACCAAGTTTGATTTGACTGTTGAAGGATCGAGGTTGGTGAATGCATTCTGGGCTCTTGTACGCTGGGCCTCTCTCATTACTTCCAGAGCACGCCTGGCACTAAGTCTATTAATCTCCGAGGCTAAAATGCCAGATAAAGATTCATGCTTCGCAGGCACGAGGTTCAAAAAGTCCAAGCTAACTTCAGTCATAGGTTCCTGACGGAACATCTTCCTACGAACCAGAAGCTCTTTAATCTCGAAATCGGTGATGGCCGACTTTTCCATTGGGAAAGAGGTCATGATAGGTCGATCGAGAAAGAGATCAGGATGATTACAAACCTTTCGCAGTTGCATCAAACAATTAATGATGGAAAGATAATTACCCGATGCGAGAGTATCTCGAGTATCATTTCGACTTAAAAAGCTATCGTAAAGCTCACGTTGTCTTTTGGACAAACGGCAAAACTCAACGTGCTCGTACTTTCCGGGCATTTGCTTTTCGACGTCTACTTTTAATCGCCTTAACAGGTAAGGCCTAAGGACCTTGTGAAGTTTGCTAATGATTGCCTTGGACTCATCATCCATCTGCTCCCTGCCATGCTCCAAGATCTGTTCCGTTGGCTTCTTGAACCAGTCCTGGAATTCTTTCAGATTTGCAAAACCACCAACACCTTGCTCGCTTCCATCCGAGGGCATCAAAAAGTAGAGCAAAGACCACAACTCCGTCAAGTTGTTTTGCAAAGGTGTACCAGTCAATAGTAACCGTGCTCGAGTATTGAAATTTAACATGGTTTGCCATCTCTGGGATTGAAAATTCTTGATGTTGTGAGCTTCATCAAGAATCATATAGTGCCACTGTCGTCGCTTGAACACCTGCTGATCCTGAATAACAAGCTGGTACGATGTGATGCATACATTCCAAGAATCATCGTCCTTCCAGCCAGCACGTTTTCGTTTTCTCTCTTCCTGATTACCGTAGTATGTTAAAATCTTGAATCCTGGGCACCACTTTTTGAACTCCATTTCCCAGTTGAGCATAACACTGGTTGGTACAATGACAAGATGCGGCCCCCAGACCTCATGCTCGCAAGCCAAATGGGCCAACAAGGCTATTGTTTGAATTGTCTTCCCCAACCCCATCTCGTCTGCTAGAATACCATTTGTATTGTTTGCGTAAAGACCGGCAAGCCAATCCAAACCATAGTGTTGATACTCCCTAAGGGTGCCGCGCAGGAGGAAAGGAACCGGGGTCTTTAATCCGTTTGAAGGTTGAGGGGTTACGCTTTGTGTGTTGCGTCGGCTACTATGATGAAGATCCACGGATGATGCCGAATCAGCCTCTGAAGGTTTAGTTTCCGTTGTTCTTGGAGTAGGCTGGCTACTGCGATCAGGGCTTATTGCAATGACCTCTGGCTTGCTAGATAAATCATGCTGGTCACTTGATGATATATCTTCGATCAGGGCTGACTTTTTGGATGTTCCATTCATTAATGGCGGTACGGATGCTCCATTAGGTATGTTGGAAGTTTCACCATCATGGGCATCCAATCCCATCGCATCGTCTGCTATAGCCGGAGTTGAATCTTCGTCCATTACCTGCACCAATTCCTCGACTTGTCCTAACTCGGCTTGTCTAGTTTCCAGATCTTTGATGTCTGAAGGTAAAAGAAATCCAAGAAGATCAGCACGACCACCTTCATCTGCGTCATTACCCCCTTCCTCATCACTGTCCTCTTCTTCGTCGCTGGAATCTGTGTCATCATCCATATCTATTGAGGGATCGCTTTCCATGTCTTCATCTGCGCTACCATTTCCAATCATTTCGTTGTCATCGCTGGCTGGTGCAATTTCTGGTAAGGCTGCATATTTTTCGCGCAGTTCATCTACAGTAAGTTGCTCATCTTCGTGCTTGGTAGTCTCTTCATCGGCTTCCGATTCCGTAGAGGACATATTACTTTCATCGTCGTTGAGCTCAGAATCTGAATCGTTGTCATTATCAGAGTCGTCATTTGCCTCTTCGTCCTCATCATCATCCTCTTCAGTGTCATTTTCTGAATCCTGTTGCGCTCTGCGAGCTTGGAGCTTTTGTGTAGATATATCTACAGCTTCGTTGAGGGCTTTTCGTACCCGAGCTTGTTCTTGCGCCTCCCATTCAACCAGCCGTCGCCGGTTGACCTCTATTTTAACATTTTCCCAGGTTCCTAAAAGGCTCTTAAGGACACTTTTATAGCGCACTTCGGATGCTTTTCTCTCCTCAGCCTCCAATTGTTCATGACTTTTTGGCTGTCGTCGAATCCATTCGTCTCTGCATGCCTCAGCCAGTTGTTTTGCGAGTCTCAAGTGCTCTTTTTGTTCTCTGATCATAAGCGTCCGGAAGTGGAGGGCAGCCTTTACGAGGTGATCTTGGTGAGCATACTGTGGTGGCATGGGGTCTTGTTTCTCAGGGCGATTCAACGAATACCCTAGAACACCACGTTCAACAGCATCTTCAAGCTGTAAGATTGTATGAGCTTCCCTCTTGGCATCTTCCTCGGTGAAAACTTCCGCATCTTCAGCGCTATACAAACCGCCTTTTTCCACTGATATATGTTGCCCTTGCTCGTAAAACTCTTCGAAAGACTCGAATTTTCGTGGTTTTGGCAGCGCATTTGGATGGATCATAGGAATACCCGCCGGCTTGACTCGAAGTCGTATTTTGGTTGGTGTGGATTTGGGGGTTTCATCTGCCATACCTTCGGATTGTACTGCTGGCGAGGAATTCGTCAGGTCATTCTGCATAACCTCAGAAGCTCGACCCGATCGGCGCAACCTCGCATTCGTAGGCGTAGACTGTGGATCTTTAGTAGCAATGGATTTCTTGTTGCCGGGCCGTACTTGTGTTGAGTGGTGCTCAAGAGGTATGGTTTTTCGATGCGATCGCTTTGGTGATGTTGATGGTTTGGCTGGTGATCTCGAGGTACTTTGGCTGACAGACTTCTTAGAAGCTTGTGAAGCTGCGGCTGTGGATGCATCTCGATTTAAAGATAAGTGAATACTACTGGCATTGCCATGTTGACTTTTTGAGGTAACGGCCTTTTGCGCCGCGCCCCGCGTTGTCCTCTTCTCGGATGGAGGTTGTAGCTCCAAGGGTATCTGGTTCACACGGCCTGATTTGCGTTTTCCATCGACAGTAAAAGAAGTTGGCCCTTCTGCTAAGACTTTCTTCCACGGAGGCGATTCGGGTTTGCGCTTCGGTATGGTCTTTGTCTCGTTACTGAGTCGCCGCCTCTTGCTCGGGGGTGCTTCTCCATCGCCATTCTCAATCGCATGTCTATTTGCTTTCGGGGTTTGTGGCACATCTTCACTTGGAGGTATATCTAATAGAGAATATATTAATTCTAACGTTGTTGAGGAAAATTCCAATCGATTTCCTTACCAAAGATTTTTTCACTCTCGGGAGCTTCTGACGCGGTTGTCATACTTTTCGAGAGAGGGGAAGCCAGACACTACCTTGAACTTCATGAAATTTTCATTTGAAATCATAAAACTACTTCGTAAGGTTCCATACATGATAAGGATCCTTTATACAAAATTTGGGCATGTCCAGATGCTTTTACCGTTTGCTGTGCAAAAATTACGTGCTGTAGAAGGAAGTACGAAGAAAATACACCTTCCTCGCGTCGAGATTGCGGTCCAACTGCCACTAGTTTGACCTTTAACCGAACAAGTAACATCCCATCGACCTCTAATCACAAGAAGTAACCGGCGACGACCTTTTAAAATAATTGCGATCAATCGCGAAGGCTCATTCAAAGTATGCCATATGTACTGACTCAACCGTATTGATCTCAACTCTGCTAATGAATAATTCGCAGATGTTCTCTAGACGTATTGCAGCAGCGCGACCACTGCGAACCTCCCTCATTCCACGTCAAGCCACCCTCATCCCACAGAGATGTGCCAGTCAGTCTGCTGCCTCCAGCGGACCAGCCTATCCAGCTTATCCACAGTTGGTCAGTCAACTTGATCGCAGTTATTTGTATCAGGTAGAAGCATGCACTGACAGAGCAGGATGAAGACCGACATTGAAGACCCCGGCATGGTCAGTTTATCCGAAATCGATTTCTGAGCGGAGACTAACATAGTATGAAGAACGGAGGATATATCAATCCCCCCAGAGTTAAGCGTCAATTCCGTGACCCTCATGCCGATTGGTGGGATAAGCAAGAGAGAAGAAACTACGGAGAGCCAGTTCATGAGGACAATGATATTCTGGGCATGTTCTCACCAGAAGAATACACACATCAAAAGCCCGGAACGGCTGCGCTCCAATTGGGCGTTTTTGTTTTATCTGTATTTGGACTTTGCACAATCGTGGGCATGATGTACCCAGATAAGCAATCTGTCCCAAGAGAGTTTGAAGGTGGACTTGAGAGAGAGTTGGGTGGCCCAACTGCAGTCAGAGTAAGTTGCATTGTACATGCGTTCTGTAAGTTGCTTTGTACTAACCCGAAGAAAAGGCTAGAGCTGCTGGAGATCCATTGTAAAGGAAGGTGGATTTGTACATATGATTATCAATTTGAGCAAGTTTTGAGGTACCTTCATTGTAATGCACTATATGGTAGTAAACTTTCTTCAACTACGGCCCCCTTTCTCTGGAGTTATGTCCATATCAAATAGTGCTTTCCCCAAATATATCTGAGGATAACGTAGTAAGGACCCCCACGGATAGGACCACAGATGTGGGACCTTTAATTATGAGAGTTTGGCCATATCTGCACACGGGGATACGCCCGTCCAGGTCCTTCCTTCCCAACTCGATGCCTCGTTCTTGCCCTCATCAGCCTCTCTAGTCAAATTGTTACCTGGTTAGGCTTGCATGTATATTTGCTTATCCTTCCGATCTACGATCTTATCTCTTCTGCCTCAACTTTTGTTCAAGATTTGCTTCAGCACTTGCTTGGGCTTTTGCCACAACTTATCAACTCGTAACTCCTAATTCTTAATAATTGCAAGTTTTTCGACATGCGTTATCAGAACTGGGACGTTCTTATGTTCCCAAACGAATTATGTAAGATTCCATTACAAGAGTTCAAAACCTCCTGTCAAGTTGTTCAAGATCCCGGTATGTGCCTGCACTCAATTTGGAGTTGAATGCCTTTAGAGCTGATGCCATCACAGAAGTTCATCAATCACAGAGCACTGCTCTACTACTTCCCACAGTCACTTGTTTCGTTCCAAGCTTGCCTGCTGGAGAATCTTTCAGAATATCTATCCATTCTTGGCAAAATCCCGAAGCCAGCCGTTATATACATCAGATTAGTAGCAGACATGCCGAGAATGTTCTGTTTGAAGCCCGTGTATTCGTCGATGGACGAATTGCTAGGTAATTCCCAGCCATTTATTGCGGAAAGTAGCGGAATTGACGAGTTCGCAGTACTAAACTTTTTCATCGAAATGGCCCATGGCCAACAGTTCTCGAAACTAGTGTCGGTAAATATAGAACCTCCCTTTTGGACTGCACCACACACGGGCATAACTATACAATGGAATGACAGAGTGTCAAGGTGATCTAACAACCCACAGAACTCGACAAACAGGGAGATTACAAAAAACTCGAGTTTCCCGCTTTTCACCGCGAACTTCTCTCACAGAGTTATTGGAACCCTGGAGACGACCTTGGGCGTGTGAAGGTAGTAGTATCGGAAGGTGTTCCACGAGATAATCTCTCTATGCCATTTGAACGTATCAAGAACCTAGTAGCTTTCTCGTTTCAGCATGCCCCGTTAGGTATATCTATTTACTAGCATGTCCATAATGACAAAATTATCGAATTAACGGCTCTTAGATGTTCTCGAAGCCTCTTCTATTGCATGGCCAAATGCGACTATGTGGCGCCAGGTCTCTCTTGTCGCACCTTTCTATAATCACCACTCTTCACCAAAACGGGTAGAAGAAGATCGTGAGGCTCATGCGCACTCTCCACGAAAGCCTCCAGCCGTTGAGTTCATGTCCTCACAGACGAATTCTATGCCACCACCACCACCATTTTCAAAAGCTCCGAACTTTGACCCATTCACTTCAGAACCGACACGTCCCTCCTTCCCAACCTGGCGTCGTCAAGGAACCTCGACTGATACTTCTATGCCAGATCTCCCAAGTAATTCTAGTGAACAGGCAGGAAGCACCCGGAATGTGTCAGATCCTATGATAATTGAGAAAGCATTTCGAAATAATGACATGCAGAGTACGGGCGCGTACGAATCTCTATGTGAAGCATTGTTACCACCTGTGCCTGATAATACACCGCAAAATGAATCTGAAGTTACATTGGTGAACTCAATTGCAATTCGGCAGCCATCTATGCAAAGAGGGCCTAGCAGACCCTGCATCGACCGTGTACCAACACCACGTGTACTTGATGCACCAGATACACCTGAAGGACTTGTATCTCAAATTGAAGAAGATCGTTTCCTTTATTCCAGAAGATTAAGCTCCTCTTCATTAAGTTACGCCAAGAGCAATAAAGAAAATGGTGGTCGAAGTCCAGGAGGTCAACCAGAAATTCTTGGCCCTAACAATCAGCGAAATACAAGTGGTAGTTCTACTCGAAGATCATCTCATCTTTTCACATCGACTAATGTAATGGGTACCAAGAGACAAAGGAATGTTACTCCTGCATCCTCGAAAGCTATTGATGATGAGGATGAACCTAGATCTTCTCCTTCATTAAGAAAGGCTTCGAGACAATCAAATGCTAGTGGACATAGTAGGGGAAAAGATTCGGAGAGGAAAGTTTTAAGTGCAGTTGATAATGTTTAAGGAGCAATTAACCACAAAGTATATAAGGCAGAAGTTGCAGCTCAAACTTTGAGTGTTTATCATTTCTGATGGACACCAGCGTTAGAGACTTGAGGGGGAGGACTAAATTATTTATTTGTTCATGTGTTTTGTTTTCGTTTTCATCAAGCATGGTATAGGGATTCGATTTTATTGGGTCTTTGATCATCAGTTATTACTATTGTGGCTATTATTCTCATTATTACTTTTACTGTTGTTGCATGTTAGGGGTCTTGGAGTTGTTTTATACGGTTAGTTTGTTTAGTTGAGGAAAGTAAAGAAGGTGATTGTAGTATACCCATGTATTAAAGAATTGTTTAATAATTTTGCACATCTTCTGGTGATTTGATATGAGACTGTTGTTTGTAGACATGGAAATGAATGTCGGGTGTGTTTTTATGTCAGATGAAACATTAGGTAAGTGATGGATAAGTATATCAATTGTTATTCCAATGTGATAATGAAGAGCGGAGCCAAGAGAGGTATGAAGATGACATAGAAGGAAGAATGCTGTTTCGTTTTTATGAATATGTTTACAGTCTAGGTAGTTTTATTATTCCGCTGCCACTCCCGCTCGAGCTCAACCTTGAATACTACTATTACTAGGGTTTGTGCTTGATGTGATGTGATGTGGATGGAGTATGGAGTGAATTCTGTCGTTGGTGTTAGTGATGATTTTTCGTAGAGATGAGGGTACAAGGGGAAGGGGAGGGGGAAGGGTAGGAGGGGAAGAGTTGAGAATCGGGAGGTAAAGTGTTGGAGGGATAGAGGGATGGAGGGGTGGAGGGGTGGAGGGATGGAGGGATGGAGGGATGGAGGGATGGAGGAAGGGAAGAGAAAGAGGGAGGGAAAGACAAGAGAAAGAAAGAGAAAGAGGGTGGAGTGTGAGAAAGAAGGAGAAAGGAATAGAGGATATTATACGAATTAAATAGATTATATATTAATTGAAAGAGCTGAGTGAGCGATGTAGGAATTTTATAATATATTAATTATTTTATTAATAAATTCCATTTATAAAACTATATAAAATAAATTATTATTATTATTATATTATATAACTTTTTCAAATATTAAATAATATTTCAATATTCAAATATTATTATTTTTATTTATTTAACATAAATTTACAAATCTATAAATCTCTCAAAATTCATCAGATCAAATTATATATAAGTATATCTAATCAAATCAAATAAATATTAAAATACTTATCTATTTAATTACTTACTTACTCATCTATTTATCTATTCATCAATTCATCTACTCAGATATTTATATGCTATTATTATTTAAATACTCACCTAGTATTTATATATTTAATTAATTAATTAATTATTTACTTACTTACAAATAGATTAAATATATATTATATTTTATTATTTTATTATTCTATTATTCTATTATATTATATTATTTTGCAAAGATAATCAAGTCAAGTCGATTGTTTCGTACATTGCATCTTAGTATCTCAGTACGTGTATGTTATAATCTTACAATGATATACATGGTGACGGACGTTTCAATATCATACTTCATATATCATACACCGTAATTTCCTTCACCTCACTCAAGTAACCAACTTCCCAATAACATTGTATACAAACATGTAGTACAGTCACCTATACACCTCATCTCATCCAATCTCAATCTCACACACCCTTATCCTGTTGCATTAAACCATAAATTTGTATTGTTGTGTTGTATTGTACTGCATCTATAATACACACTTTCTCTTCCCCTTCTCCTCTTCCTTCTCCAACAACCTCCCCATCTCAAAATCATTCCCAAACCCCATCCATACCATTTACTCCTCAAAACATATTTGCTTCCCTCCCACTGTCAAGCTGCATATAAATAACAGTATGAATGTTTTAAATATCAGCCCCGCCTCCTATTCACCTTCTCCCGATTTCAATCATTCCATCCCATCCATTCCAGTCTAATATTTACTCCAAGGGTATGGTATAAGATCGTCTTATATGGCGAATTTGCCCACAGGACCATAGATAAAAGCATCTATGACTTTGCTTTCCCGTAAAAAGATATGTGCGATTTGTGTGTGTGTTTTTCGAAGTGTGAATACCAAGTGTTGAGCGAAAGAATTTGAAATCAAAAAAAGAAAATAAACGCCTGTCGCTGATGATGATAAATGATGAAAAGTAATGCCAGAGCCAGTTCCAAATGCAATGCCATCAGAGAAGCCAAAAAGAAAAAGCTCGAATGCCAAAGCCATGCCAATAATGCCATGATATAGCCTACCCCCCCTCCTTTGCCAAAAACGAAAGCAAGTGCCCAAACCGAGTAATCAAAAATGGAGGTTCCGGAAATAAAGCTCCAGGATGTTCGATGAATTAAATTGAACCAGAAAACCCAAAACCGAAAAAAGTACGCCATTGTAATGCCTGCTCATCTTCGTCCCCTTCTGAGTCGCTTGGTCGTCGTTGTTGCAAGATGTGTTAAGATGCCGATGCTGATAATACAGCCAGCTGTGTTATTTGTATGTGAGAACTGTAGGTTTGTGTGGAGACCAGGAAATGAGTGGAGAATGTCGTAAAGTAGTAAAGAGGAAGTGGTGATGTTCCTTATGATCTCTTTGCAAGCTCTTTGCAATGATCATTAATGGGGAAAAATCATGAGTCGTTAATGGAAGCGGTATGTGTGTGTGATCGTATGTATGTGAGGGGTATCAATATTTGGTTCGCCTTTTTCCTGGTCCCGCGCATCACATGTTATACCTCTCGGTCTTCTTTGCTATGCTTATTCTTTTTTCGACCTGACCAAACCTGATGCCGTGCGGCTTTCCTTTTACGACATACCTCCTCTATTTCCTTGGTCTCCACGGCTAATGGCTATTTCTTTCGGCCTCCAGCACCAGTTGATGTAATCTTCGACGTGGACATTAAGTCTCCGATGTACTTTTGCAAGAATTTATTGTTGTTATCGAGTTTATCGTGTTCTTCCTTGACAGCTTCGATTCGATTGAATATTTCGAGGAGAGATTGTTGAAGGAGTTTGGCGTGTCTTTAAAAAGGAGGTGAGTTAGCATTGTGTGATGTGTCATTTGGGTTACATGTTTTCATGAGTAGGAAGGGAGGGTAACATACTCGTTGAGCTGCGCTCTGGCATCCTGACTCATCTTTTCTAAATCTTCACTGTTCCTCCTTGGACTCATGGCTCTGGCGTCATCCTCATCAAAGACCTCATCCCCTTCTTTTAGTTCCACGCGCGGGTGTTCACGCGGTACTATTATAGTGCCGCTAGACTTTCTAGTGCCGAGCTTCGGCCTCTTAATTGATGGCGTACGACTCGCAGATGTATTTGCTGGTGTGCTTCCTCCATTTGCATCTGAAGAAGATGTACTTGATGAATCATTTGTTAAAGGAGAATCAGCCAGTGATGGATTAGCGGTAACGGGTTCCAGAGAAGAAGTTGGTGGTATGGCGGGAACCGTTGCTTCAGTTGGTGATGCCATAGTGATAGGAGGTGTGAGACGTGAGCTTTGATGCTCCGCAAGCTGAAGGATACAGCTTTAATAGAATATAGGATGTACACTTTCTTGTGACAAGTTGTCTGTACACCGAGGTAGATGTAGATATCTTTTGCTGGGCGATATGATGTGGTGTTGTGAGGTTATGGTATTGTATAAGGTGATGTAAGGTGAGGTGAGATGAGGTAAGGTGTGTGTATAGTTGTGGTATGGTGGTGGTATGGTGTTGCAAAGAAAGTGTGGTAGTTTGGTAGTTTGGTGGTTGGTGATTTGTTTGGTGGTTTGAGAGTGAAATGGTCGTGACTTGGATTCGAAATGGTGGTAGTACAAAAATAATAATGGGGTATGGGTATCTTTTGCTTGAAGAAAAGTTGAATGGAATTGAGACTTTTTGATGTTTTGTGTTTTTTTCTTTCTTTCTTTCTTTCTTTCTCTCTTTCTTCTTCGTCTTCTTCCTCTCTTCTACTTCTTCTTGTCGTCGTCGTCGTCGTCGTCGTCTTCTTCTTCTTCTTCTTCTTTTCTTAGGATGGAAGCTCAGAAGAGCTACGAGCAAAAATAATTTGCATCGAATCTCTTCTTATTTTCTCTCTTCTTGAGCTTTGTTTGTTGAATGATTTTCTCTTCTCTCTCTGAACTCTGACTCTAAACTCTGACTCTGACTCTGACTCTGACTCTCGCTCTCTCTCTCGCGCGCGCTCTCTCTCTTTTTCACACTCTCTCTTATTTTTTTTTCTTCTCGGGAAGAGAGATTTTTGGGTGGAAAACAGTGGGAAAAGGTGTGTGTGGTAGGTTGTGGTTGGGAAGGTTCGAGTATATTGGAGTTACTTTTAGTGTTGTACTGTACCCATTCAAAAAAATAAATCGGCCGTGACACCCAAAAAGATTTGCCAGCCCAAGTCTCCAAGTATGGTAAAAAGAGACAATCCTTTCCCTTTCCCGATCTCACTAACTTGGTTCAGGGAAATAATTAAAATGCGAAATTGTGGAAACTAATACTAAAGAGGTTCTAACTTGGAGAAGGGGGGCTGTGGGTTGTATCAATTCGGAAATGACTAAATGCGTTTTATATTATTCCAAATATTGTCTGATTACGATCGAGTGAGTAGATTGGGTAGATTGGGTAGATTGATGGACTGGTAGGTGTCAGGTATTAGGTGTTAGATATTTAAGTCTATCGGTATTTATTTGTGCGAATAGCTTTAAGTGTAAGGGGTACAATAGAACAATGAGTGGATAATGGATGATGGAATATTGACGGTGTGTAATGCGCTTTTGAGTAGAATGATGTATTCTCGGTTTTACCAAGCTGGACGATGGTGAATGAAATGATGGGTCTGAATCAGCTGATTAAGAAAAATTCAATAGTATAAATATACTTATTTATATATGTGTATTTCTTTGATTTAAAATATAAAAAACTTTTCAAATTACATAAATTTTTTAATTTTTAATTATCTAAATAAATATATATATACTTTCTCTATTAAAAAAATACTTATAAAATAAATATAATCTCATGAAAATATATATTTTGACGATTTTTCAATAATTATTATCTCAAATCATCATTCAAATTCCTATAATCAATTCTCTTTTATAGACATCAAATATTAAAAAAGTTATTAAGATATATATATATATATACCATGTAGTATAGGTACACACACACTTCATGTTACAGAAAGAAGCAGTTTAGAAAAACAGAGGGGGCGACGGGCATCCCTCTACCTGCATTTTTTGGCCATGCCCCGGTGTATCTCCCTAACTTGGCTACAGTGGACCCTGATAAAGCCGTCAAGCACTAGGATACGTCGCTGCAGATCTCCTTGACACCTGTGAATTCGTGACGCTATACTTCTCTGGTAAAATCCGAAAGTGCCAATTATGCCACATAATTATGCTTGATCCACCCCTGACCGAGAATGATCCCGGACCTCTCAAACACACAACGGTCAGAAACCTTCCCTCTTGAAGGAAGAAGAGAGCGAGCGAGCGAGCGAGCAGGAGAGAAGTTGGAAGTGAGAGGGTGAGCCAAGAGGGGGAAGAAAAAGTGGTTGGAATTTGAATGGGTTGTAGGTGAGTCCAAAAAAAAGAAAAAGAAAAAGAAAAAGAGAGACAAAAATCCCTATCTGCCGTTTTATTAATCAATCAAGGCAAGAATTTGAGTGGAGGACAACGGATTTAGTACAATGACACTACAAATATTTTCCATTATAATTTGAGACTGCAGCAATGAGGATGAAGTATTGGAGGAAAACATCAAAATGTTGTTCAGGGGTGCGTGTTACTCTTTGAACATTCCCCGAGAATGGATTAAGTTTCCCACTTCAGCAAATACCAGCCAATCATCAGACGCGAAATATATTATGGTAGACATTATCGGTGCCTCCACCTCAAGGATGCCAAAAGTACTCTGTAAAGAAGGAAATGCAATGGAAGGATCGTTTTAAGACGTACCTAGGACCTTTGGACCTAGGGAGGGAAATGCAACGTGCCGTGACGCCGTCCGCTTTGCTGTATGCAAGAGTTAAAAAGCTTCCCTCGATTGTGATATCCAGATAGTCGGGTTAAAAGAGTCATGGATTTCATGGATTTCATGGATTTCATGGATTCGTGGATTCGTGGATTCGTGGATTCGTGGATTCATGGATACATTCATGGATTGCTTGGATGGATTCATGGATGAAGGGGCTTAACAAGAATCGTTTTGGTCAATGGATACTTGGGGAGTTTTCCTAAATGGGTTGAGTGGGGGGGGTCAAGGTAAATTGGGTATCCTTTTTCATGGATTGGATTTTATTGTGGGTGACGGTTTTTTTTTTCTTCCTTTCCAGTGGGCTTTGAACACACGCAGGTCAAGAAAGTACTCGGTACTCGATTTCAATTTGTTCGCTCGTCTCGGTGAGTTTGACGTTTTAGTCAAAGACTCTTGATTTGAGTGTTCACGCATGGTCACTGTGTGTCACTTCTTTTGCTGACTGCGCTGCACTCACTCACTGCACAGTCTGCACAGTCTGCACCGCACTGCACTGCACTGCATCGCTGGAAAGTGCAAGTGGAGTTGAACTTTTTCAAGTCATCAATCATATTGGATGTATATTGATACATGATCGTGAAACTAGGAAATGCATCCCGAAATATTATGGACACCCACAACACCCACAACACCCACCATGTCACCAGCATTATGGTGAATCAATGAATGAATGAATGAATGATACCTACAGAGACAAAAAGGACACGCAGATATGGAGAGTCCGGATACTCTCTATCCTATGGTAGATTGATTATAGGATGCCTGCGAGACCCAATGCAAAGCACCAAACGATCCCAAATTTCGTAAGGAAGTTATAAGAATTATGGAATTTATGGAGTTACTGTAATGGAGAGTCTGAGTCTGAGTCTAAGTCTGAGTCTGACAACGTTGATATGCACTTTTAGTTCCAGTTAGTTGTGGACGTTTACTCTCTAGATGATAATCATGATATGTACCGTATCCATTTCTTCCTTTTTTCTTAAAGGCGGAAGTGAAGCCCCTACCGAGCCTACCGAGCCTACCGAGCCTACTGACCCTACTGACCCTACTAACCCTACTAACCCTACTAACCCTACCGTACTGTAGTAGTACCGTAGTACCGTCCCTCCCCTTCATTTAGTTCTTTTTGAATGTTCGTATTAGATTTAGAGTTGTTTTAGTTGTTCTACTTACTGAGTAAGTAAGTAGGCTGAGTGCAAATACTTTATGAATCGTCTGTCTCCTGAAGCTTGCCACTAATAAATGAATTGTATGAAAGATCTATAAGCTCTCCCCAGTGCCGTCGCCCCCCACCAACCGAGCTTAACACCAGAAACAGGCTCTTACAAGGTCAATCAAGCAACAAGCAACAAGCAACAAGCAACATCTTTCATCTCTCAAGGAAGAAGATTGGAATTTTGAAGTGAAGATTAATTCCCCCTTTATAAATCTACTCGGCATCCAATACACTGTACAGAGATCACACCATAATCCTACTCGGTTTTGTAAGACCCATCCATCATCTCATCATGCTGACTGACTTTTGAGGTTATTTTAAACAAATCAAATCTAATCGTCATTTCATACTTAAACTGCTGTCCGTCATACAGTATTCCTAGTCATTTCCAGCAGCTTTTCTTGGATCCTTGAACCTTCTCTCCCAGTTTTTGATTTCTCCTCTGTTTTTTCTATGGATTTCTTCTAGTCCACAGTACATACCTACATACAATATAGGAGTACCCCTGAACCAAAGATCTCAATCCTCCAAGCTTTTTCTGAAAAGGTTTCAGACTTTTTAATGTAAATAATAATAATATAAATAATGATATACTTTTTTCAACGGTAGATTAGAATTTGAAAATTTAAAAAGCACCAAACTCAAAAAGAGAGGACCCACGTCTTTCATGATGTAATAACGCACGGGATCAATCAAAGCCATTTACTCATTCTCCATTCTTCTCACAAGCAAGAAGAAGGAATAAGCATCAAGCATCAAGTAACAAGCATCAAGCATCCAGCATCCAGCATCCAGCATCCAGCATCAGGTTTATTACCTTTCAAGCATTACAATTTACTCACTCTCCTCCTACTTTGTGTTATCTTTCATCACTATCCTTAAATCAGTTAAGGAGCACCCTGACCTTAAAAAGCTCAACTATCATCTTTACCCCTTATAGTAATTGAGGAGATATACCAACAAGGCAGATGGAACCGTCAATCTCTCATTTGGAAGCGCCGGGATTTCGCTTACCACGGGTCCAGCGACGTGACTGGTGATTTTAGAAATTCATTGCCGTATGTACCGATATAAGAATCCCTACGTACCCCTTCGAAACTTAGTACAGAGTATATACTCTGTACAGCCCACAAGTCTTGTACCGGTATCAAAGTATCGTGAGATATTCCCCGCTCATCATCATTTCCCTTTTCGGCATATTAAGACGTTTGGGAAGGGAAGATCAGATCAGATCAACATTTTAAAAAGAAGGGTACTCTGTATGTGTGTTATGTTATGAAACTGGGAGGCGATGCTATGTCGCTATGTCGAGGGTTGACGGCCTCTCGGAAGTGCTCCCACCTCCTTCCATCCAAGTTTTTTGATCTCAAATTCTGATCAGATCGACTTCTTCAAAGCGTTCAAAGTTGGAACGTGAAGGGAGGTAGGTACAATCAATGAATGTGTATGTATGTATCTATACATATAAACTTTGTACAACGTTCAAGCACCCAAAACATTCAAAGGATTCCTTACCGAAATGGAAAAGAACATGACAGGTTTTTCGCTGTCAAGTTGCCAACCCCTCCTTCTCAACCCTTGTCTTTTTTTTTCCAAACCTCGGAACAATTCATTATCCAAGCTCAGATGCTCATCAAACAAAACTCTGCATACATACTCCGTACACACCTAGGATGTTCCGTGTTTTTTTCCCTCATGATGCGGATCCCCCTGGTAATACTTCCGTGTAAAACTCTTCTCTACAAAGTAACACAAATACTGAGGACCCTGAAAAATAATCCTTGATGAATCCATCTCTTGTGATGCTCCGCAAGGACACAGTATAGAGTAATGATAAACCTTATATAATATGATTGTATAATGACCGCAATAGCGATGATGGCGATGATGATGATCAATGTCTTTCTTTCTTGACCTACGTACGGCATAGAAAATCCAACACAAGGAAGATCAAGATTGTAGAATCCAAAATCCAAAATACTCTGTTCATCCAAACCCAAGAAATCCTCTCATCATAATAATAACAAAAAACCCTTTGACTCACTCACTCACTCACTCACTCACTCACTTACAAATAGGAATCATGGATTTATTCACCACCGGATCCACGATACGTACGTTTCCGTTTA